TATCTTGATGCACATGTGCAGGTGACATTTACTAGGAAGCCAAGACCAATGTCTACCACTTAGCAATAATAATAATAATAATAATAATAATAATAATAATAATTTCTAGCAAAGGAACCTAATTGATTGTTAACTTCATATGCTACAAGTTTATCAGCATAACCAGACCTCAAATATTTAATTTTCATTAGTGCAGCACATTAAATGATATCAAGTCAAGACTCTCATTTTCCCCACTGTTAGTATCTTGTTATAAGCCAAATCCCATTAATTCTGTACTGCAGAATAAATGCAACACTTATCTCAATCATAAAGCTGTTAGCAGCTTGTTAACCCATGGCCTAGGCAATTAGTGAGGTACATAAGTCCCAGTACAGAACCAAGAAATGTCTGGAAATATGTTATTATTGGTACTCCTCTGCTGCCTCAGACCATTAGTATCAGATAAGCCTTTTGCAAATTTGATCAATTTTTTTCTAGCCAATGAATGGTTTGGAAGATTCAGCTACATCATGTTTTTAGTCAGACTGATGACAGATTAGTTGAAACAATCAGCCTGCTTCCTTAATTAAGCCAAAATATTGCCCTTCCAAGCTACAAAGAGTCCTGCTGCCTGTTATACTCTGCAGATACACGATGCCCTTAATATGTTTTAAAAATTAGTAATTTCCTCAAAAACAGAATCAATACTAATCCAAAATGCCCTTTTTCCTACCAAAGAAGCCCCCTAATAGATGAGACGTACCCGTCCCAGTGGCAGCCCCCACATGCACATTTCATGGTGCTAACCGACAACAGCTTTCTACAGACAGGAAATGAAACCAGCCGACTATTTCATATTCATACTGCAGCTCATCCAGGACAGCAATATGGTTAATTATACATGAATGAGGGATGAAATGGGTTTATCTGGTCTTAATAAAGTATAAAATTTTCTCTCTTTCTCTGTGTGTGTGTGTGTGTGTGTGCGTGCATGCATGTGTGCATGCATGCGTGTGTGCGTGCATGCATGGTAATTTGTGTGTATTATATGTGTTTGTATGTGAGTGTGTGTGCATACATGGTGCATATGTGTGTGTGCTATAGAAATTTAGTACAGTAAGTGTTTCGTAAAGGTTAAAAAGCACTTAAAGGGTGCCTTATATCAATATTACGGAAGAACTGAGACTTCTTGCATGATTCACAACATTTCAATATTTAAGTCATCATGACAGGGAAAACTAATAAAACCTAGTATCCTAATTCTTCTTATTGCAGTCTTAAATGATTTAGATGAAGAAACTGACAAAACAGGGACACAGTTCTCAAGCAATTGGAATAAATAAATAAATCAACGATGAAAAAACACCAAACTTGATTTTCACACTACACATGCACTAGTAAAATGTCAGACAATAACATTAGTACATAAGCAAAATGCATTTTTCCCCATGAGGAAAAATCAAACAAATCATTTCTCCTGTATCTCCTCACTGGAAATATAAACTTGGAAACAAAAACTATGTAACACTATTAAATTATAGAGGTTAAATAAAATATATGGGGGCATTACTGAATAATGGATATTCTGTTCACTAATAATAGTCCTATGAGTAAACAGACAATTTGGTTACTAGTACATTCTGACCAGATGTTTGCACCATGACATGTTTTTTTCTTTTTCTCTTAATTTATGATACCTATCCTGAGCTCAGTTGATATCAATTATATTAGATTATTTTTACAGGTGGCTGGCAATTTTATTAACTTGATATTAATAGTCAGATTTTTAAAGAAGTTTGATTGATTTCTGTCTTCATAATCATGTAATCTTTTTGACTCATTAAAAAGTTCACTGATGTTAGAATTTGCTTCCACAGCAATATTACTTTCAAAACATACATCAAATAGGTGATCAGTTTATTGGGAGGAAACAGATAATTCTAAAAATAAAATGATACACCACGCTTTGCACATCAATCACTTGCTTCTAATGATGTCACTGGTGAGTAGGAAAGAAAGTCAACACCTGCATTCTTTAACAGTCTTCTAGTAAATTTTACCCATCAATCGAGGCTGATGTAAAAAATAAATAAATAAATAAATAAATAAATAAATAAATAAATAAATAAATAAATAAAACAGATCAGTTACATTCACTACAGTAATTCCTATAATTTAAAAATATTTAACTTAAAATCAAATACTAGTTAGACATAAATCATTATTAATCCAAAATTTTTATTTTATGTGGATATAACTCAAGGCTATTGATTCAAAAGTCAAAAAGATTTTTATTGTTGTATTACAAAAAAGTAAAATTTTCAGGGAGTCCTTTGAAAATTTTTTATAATCATTGTATATGCTGTTCCCTACACTACGCAATACTGGGCTCAGGTGAATGAAACCAGATACTGGTAAAGTGAACACAGGTGGACCAGCAGTTCAACAACATGCTAGGTATAGAAATTCAATACCTATGTAATGATTATCTCCCCAATTACCTAAATGGAGGGGCTAATTTTGTCAACTAGCGTGAGAGCTGAACAATGGGGAACATTTCAGAAAAGCTAAGCTAAAAAAATGTAATGTTTTTTATAGTATGGTGACACATGTTGAATGTCATGTTGATGATCATGACCTATATGTACTGTGTGCACACGAAAATATCTTTTCCATATCTATAACCAGTTATTTCCTTAAAATATTAGTTTAGTAAAAAAAGTAGAAACTTAAGCAAAGCATCCTAAAAGAATGTTATTCAAATAAAGATGATCATAAATATCATTTACACTGTGCAAAAAAAAAAAAAGATTATAAACTAATGCAAAAAATTTGTCATATGTGGAATGTTAACAACTTTTCCTGTCATAATTGATCACAGAAACAGAAAATCTCTTTCAAAGGGCAATAAAGATCCTTTAAACTAGTTTTATTCCTCAAAATAATAAACTGAAGTGTATTTTGAACAATTACAGTCATTATTCAGCCTTTTCAAATTTTAAACCAAAGTTTTGCAATTCATTAAAAGAAATGGAAATGTTTATAAGCAAAATATGAAAGGACCTTTAAACTGTATTTTCTGAAAAACAAGCCACATTTTGTACATCTTTTTAAAGAGCAAGTTTGAGGAGTTCTGATATTCACTGGAATGCAGCTGGCAATAATGAGTGCATCTTTCATCAGTCTCTCATTTCCTATCAACAGCTCAGAGTTCAGATTGGTTAAAGAAGATGGAGAATGTCCTGCGTTATTGTCCCTACAGAAACCAAGAACATGGCCAGCTACCAGTACAAGGGAAAACAGAAGCAGAGAACTAGTATCCATAACCTTACTACTGCTATAAATGCCATGAACAAGGAGAAACTACACAAAGGGAAATAAGCAAATACCAAAAAACATGTTGCATGCAAATACACTAGTTAACAGCTCACAAATATGGACAAGACTTCCAAATAGTTAATTCGACATTAAAACAGACTGAGAAATAAAAAATGTTCTCACAAGCAACCCAGCACTGTAGACACTAAGGTGCTTTACTATAAAGCCCAACACACAATGAATTAGAAAACTCATGCAACACAGTCTATGGGTGAGTATGTGAGCAGCCATGCTATACTGAGATAGCTACAAGTCTTACTTTCTAAACTCAACTGTCTCATGAAGAGACGGGAGCTGGAGTCCATCCAATATATCTTCTTCGTCTATTTCTTGAGACCTGTTTTTAAATACAACTGCCATGTTATTGCATGAGCGACATCACTGTCAATATATCTGACATGTAATGTACTATAATGTCTCATATTTGTGTACTAGTATTCATATAAACAGTAGTATAGGGAGGCTCCAGTTTGTCATACATATATATAGCATTTGGAGGTCAATTAATTATCATTATCACTATCATGACCACTGTCTATAACATAGGGACTCATTACATCATATGGTATTTACTACAAAGACTACAGGTAAGAAAAAGATGAATAGCTCATGACTATGATGAAGAGGGCAGCAGAAACACCAATCAACTGAGATCACCATTCTGCTAAATAAATGAAACTGCTGGCAATTCATATGATAAAATTGCCATAAAAACAGAAAGGAAAGTTGTACTGGATTGTTTGTCTCCTAAACAAAGGGTCATTTGATTTCCCCTTTATCTGACAGTAGAATGTTGTGTTTATGACCTTGTGAGGTTGAGTCATACTACCATTTGAATAAGTAAACACACAGTTCTAGAATATTTTGTGAACTACACATTTCTCAGTTTTACCACACTTAAATTAGTTAATTAATTCTAAAACGCATCTACTGTCGTACCTGTGGCTTAAACAAATAAATGCTTTTTTTTTTAGTTTAGCTCAGTCTCTTTATTCCGCTACATGAGTTTATGACACAAACTGGAACGTCTTGAACAACCTGCCATTTGTTAAATGTCATTCTTACGCTAAAAAATCTTAGCTGTCATCACGTTAAGGACGCTGTCTTGTGAGATAGTAATCTAACTTCTAAGATAAAAAGAAGTAGATGACAGATGATCCCTCCCCTTTTTCACTTGATACAACGACACTTTTCGCTCAAAAAGATGTTGGAAAAGTTGTAATTGATTGCTCCAACCTAAGTAATAAAACACACGGATACTTCTGAGTAGATACTGTAGAACATTGTTCCTGGATGTTAACAAAAACAAGATTATTAATATTTACCAGGCTCCATCGTCTTCTACTTCGGCCATATTTGTTGACGTGTATGACGGAATTGGGTACTTGTTAAGCTGTCGTAAAGGAAATGGGAGCGACCTAGATTATATGTGGATAAAAAGTGATAATTTTGTAAAGTATTTGTCGAGTTAGCAGTTGGGGTAGGTATATAAAGGTGTTACATTGCATCATACTTCTAGTTTTACAGAAGAAACAGACAGCAGCGAAATTACCGCGGTACTTAATATCCGTCATTGTACAGGTATTTCAGTGAGGGGATTTTATCACTTCCTCTAAAAAGTGAGGTACGGGGTAAAAGCAACAAGGAAGCAGTCAGTGTAAAAATGGCGACTGGAAGAGGACCAGTTACCAAGAATTTCGGGGGCTGGATTCAGCGTCTCCAGGGGACGATCATGGACGCTGTCGGCCCGACGAAGTTATACGTGGATAAGAAAGTAATCGAGAAAGTCTGGAAGCTTATGGACAAGGTAGTAAAACAATGTCAGCACCCGAAAATGAATCTGAAGAACAGCCCTCCGTTCATCCTAGACATTCTTCCTGATACGTATCAACATTTGAAGCTGATCTATTCCAAGTATGAGAATCGGATGGAGCAGCTTAACGATTGCGAATACTTCAAACTCTACATTGACAATCTTATGAAGAAGTGCAAACAGACACTGAATTTATTTAAGGACGGTAAAGAAAAGATATTCGACGAGAACTCTCACTACCGACGAAACTTGACCAAGTTGTCGCTAGTTTTCTCCCACATGCTGGCAGAGCTGAAAGCTCTGTTCCCTCACGGAGTTTTCACGGGGGACACGTACAGGATCACTAAAGGAGACGCAGCAGACTGGTGGAAGAAAGCATTTGGAGACAGGTGCGTTGAGTGTGGAAGTTGTGTATTGGTCTTGCAGGTTCAGTTGAATGGGCGTGTGTGAGGTCCATTGGTTGTGACATATTAGTCACCCAAATCTCCCTAATGTAAATCACAGCATTCTGTTGGTATGGTCAGTGGGTCTGAGCCATGAGTCAGTGAATGTCCATTTGTTGTTAATTAACTGAGATTTAATTAAGGAGATTAGTTTTTTAAAACAGATCGTCGGACAAGGATAATTCCACAGTGTCTGTCCTGTCGGTTTGTTCTCTCCGAGCGTGTTCTCTCTCCTTCTATGTACGATACATGCTTATTCCAGTGGCAGATCCAGAGATATTTTCTGACAGTCTTCCAAATTATCTTTGCTGATCCATCCTCCATTTTTTGACCGTCTTTCGACAGCAAAAATTAGATACCCGTCAGTGTAAACTTGAAAATCTGACCGTCTTCTGGAAGACCCAGAAGACGGCCTAAATCCGCCCCTGTATTCCTCAAACTTAAATTAATGAAGCCATGCAAGGTATTTAGTTTACTGCAAAATTGACCCTCCCCCCCTCTCTCTCTCTCTCCCTCCCTCTCTCTCTCTCTCTCTCTCTCTCTCTCTCTCTCTCTCTCTCAATTCATCATATCCACAATACAGTGTCTGTGGCTGTAATTTTCAACAAAATGTGTTAGTTAGATGTTAGATCTGGTGTAGCCACATAATTAGATTATATGTCAAGTGCAAAGTGTGGGAGAGAAAGAGAAAGATGGTTCATAAGAGATAAAATAGTCTTTCGGCATGATCAGGTAAATTAAAATATAAATAAATTAATTTTTCTACTGTCATATCTGAAGATAACACTCATAAACATAATACTGTATATATATAGAGAGAGATAAAAAAAATAGTTCTTTTCATTGTCTCTATTTATGAGTTTAGTTGGTTGGATATTTCAACTAGGACAACATATGGAAAATGCATTTCTGTTTGTACTCAGCGTGAAGAAGTACGTAACAAGCCTCTTGGATAATGTAACGCTTGCTCGAGATAAGCCTGTTTATCTCAGTAATTCCATGAAGGCCAGTGTTGCCAAGGCAACGTAGATTTAAGCCTTATTTAGTACTTGAGTGGGCATGGTGCAGCTGTCCTACTATAACTGTTGTTAATACTGAAATGATGAGAGAGGGGGATTGAAAACCCAGGCCTCTCCTTTACCATATTTTATTAAAATTTTTCTCTTTTGTGGCTTGATTTTTCTATCTGTCATGGGAGTTATTCTGTATGGTAAAAATGTTTGACACTTCACTTTGATTGATAGAAAAATTTGCTTTGAATCAGTGTGATGTGTTAAAGATTTTTAAAATGGGCAATTGAGAAAGTTATTTTCTGGTTATTTTGGCTATTGCCGTCATCAATCCCGTAAAAATTGATCTCAGATCTAAGGATGGGATTCACGAGAGAGAGAGAGGGAGAGAAGGGGGGGGGGGGCAGAAATATCAACATCGCCTGGAGCTCCTGTTACCCCCCCCCCCCAGCACCAAACCAGACAGAGCTTTAATGATAACTTTAAAAGAAATTTCAGCAGACAAAACAGATTAAATGGGTAAAGTATTTATACTTGATGAAATCTGACTTATTTAGTATGTACAATTTCAAAAGATAAAAATCCCCATTTTGTTGGCCTGTTGCATAAGATATCACAGCTATTCGAACTGTTTTGATAACTGTATAAAAGAGTGAAGAAGGCCACGTAGAAGGACTACATGTATGCAATTTTTAATTCGAAAAATACAGACCACGTACAATACATACAATGAAACTGTTGTGCACAGATAAGCTATTTAAAAGATCCCCCCCTAAAAAAAAAGGGGGTGCTGTCTGGCATTAAAACTAAACCAACTGGTATTACAATGTTTGGTTAGATGGAGCTGGGTTGACCTGCATTCCAGCTCCTCTGAAAAGCCTGGTGCTTTTTTTTTACTGTAGGATGATTAGGATTGGTATGAGTCTGACTGTCATTTGTGGTTTGATTAGTGTGTCTGATGGGAGAGATAAGCTGCTCCACTGGGTCATGTTGATCAGCACATTGTAAACTGTCTACATGTTCCTGGAAAGCTAATGTAAACTTTGTTGTGGTTTATTTGGTTTTTATGAAAATGTCTACATTCTGCCTTTTGCAACTTTGAGCAGCTTACCAATGTGCAGTGAGTTAAATCGTGCAGTAAACATAGAATAAACTGATGTTATGTTTAAAAATTGGTTTGAGAATTCCAGATAAAACTTCAAATCTAAGTGATATGTTAAACTGAAATGTAGCCAAAGACCTTCCATGTGGCATAAACCCATTACACACAGCTGTATTGATCTACAACTACTGATCTACAATACGCCGTGCAAAAAAATGAGTAAAAATGAAGACAAACTGCAACGATAAATGCAGCTCTCAAGTTTCCCTGCATCGGAGTTTCTGTAGGGGAATAATTAATCTACCTTTGAAACCCCCTGTAAAAAATTGATGATGATTGCTGCGCTGAATGAACTAGTCCTAAGCTTAATCGAGGAGACATCCTGTAAAGGGAAATCATACAAAATAATTGCACCACCATTATTGGTAGTACCAGGTAGGGAAGATTTGCCAGCAGAGGAAACAGCATTGAGGAGGATATCCACAGTGTGGGTGTCTCTGGCCACTTTCAGGTTTAACCACAGGAAAGAGGCACTTGATGGCAGCCCACTGCTTGGTGACGTTTCTGTTATACGAACCAGAGGTGGGAGGGATGATGGGCAAATTACTCTGTGGACCCATCATGACGTGCAATCAGGCGCTTCCGATCCCCCCCCCCCGTGCCCTGCCCCCCACACCCTCCCTTCTGAGAATAAAAGTAGCAGTATAACTAGAAAAGTACTTGGAGGGATCACAAATCTCTGCCAGTGCAGCTCAGTTCTCTTTGGATTAATTAATTAATTAATTAGCATTAAATTATAGTTGTATATGTAACAAATTTGTACAATATTTGGGTCAACACATGAGTGGTAATGTGATTTGGCAGTCTTATTAGACTCTTATATTTACTAGTCATAGTTTATAAGCAGGAAAAGAGAAATAAAATGATATTACAGTTCTTTTTAATGAAACAAAAAATAGGAATCATATTTTTTGTTTGTTTGTTTGTTTTTGTTTACAGAACTTTTTTTCTTAAAATTCTGAAAAGAGATATAAGATTTTGTATTTTGTTCAAAACGGTCAGGTTGAGACCTCTAGTACTAGTATGTTACTGGTGTCTTAGAGATGTCACAGAGGGGACAGCATAAACAACTTCCTTTCTGGAAACCAGCTCATGTAAACTGATCTGTATTTCCAAGTAATGCTGCTTAATTACAGGATGCTCCACTCATTACAAAGTTAAATCTGTCACTGGGGGTTCATTTTTCCTGTCATAACAGTGATGATGTACTTAAATTAGGCATTAACTATGATTACAAGTACATTCATAGATTCTATACTGTATACTGCTACTAGTATCTAAATTGTGCACTGAATTACAGATACAGAGGATTTCATGCAATATTTCGAAAGGGACATATTCAAGTTTTTAAACTTAATTAATGAGTACAATTTTTTGGTCTCGGTTGTTTTGTAGTTTGAATGAGTAAAGCCACAGTATTAAGGGTGTTTTCTCAGATCAGTTTCAGGAGGATAGACAGTTAAAATTTTTAGATACCAAACAAACAATCGTATTCATGGTTGCAACACATTCCAGGAAAATGTCCCTTATCTCCCAGTTTTAGTTTACCCTGTTGCACAGTTGCCACAGTCTGTTTTCTAGTAGCAATAGTTTTTCCATAGTATTATCTTCAGTTAGTGTTCAATATCTAGAATATGGATATATTGCCTGTCAATTCTGTGGCTGGTGAGAGGATTTGATTTCTCTATCTTATCAGTGTAGATCAAGACATTTCCTATCCTCAGGACTCTAGGTTATAAGATGGAGTATTTGTTGTGGAGTACCTATGAAGCCGTGTTCCCACTTTAAATGAGTCTGCCTAACTTACTCTGACCCATCTAAATCAAATTGGGGTCTCAGACTGTGTTGAAGGACATAACGCTTATCTCTGGAGCAGTAGAAGTAGGCAGGGTCAGAAAAGGAAAAGATTTGTGCCTTTGGTGGGTTCATAGTAACCAGAAAGCTGCTTTAGATAAAAAAAAATGCTTTGAAAATTGGACTTAGATGTCAGTGTATCTCAACCCAAGATAATAAGTAGCACTTCAACCAGATGAAATATTTCACCTTTATTATAACCAGAAATGCATTTCTAAAATAGTCCAGAATATTGGTATAAAAGATTAGACATGTTTTAGATGGTATGTGCATGTGTGTGTGTGCGTGTGTGTGTGTGTGTGTGTCTGTGTGTGTGTGTATGTGTGGATGGATGGGCATGTGTGTAAGTGGGTTGGTGGGTATATGCACATGCACGTGTGTGTGTGTGAGGATGTATACGTGGATGGGTGGGCATGTGTGTAGGATGGTGTGTGTGTGCGTGTGGGCATATGTGGAGGAGTTTGGGTATGAACTGGCTCCAGATACCCATTTTACTCTTGCCATTTATGATGTATTGAGAAAGGTGGGCTCAGCTTGACTTGAAAAAAAAAAGAAAAATGCATGGCTTATGGTGGCCTCTGGCTGACGTGTTATACAGTACTAGGTGTTAATTTATTCTCTCAACTTTTTTTTTCTTCGTTTTGCTTTCATTTGTTGTCAAGGATGAGGAGGTGGAGTGGGGGGAAAGTGACAGGGAAATGACGGAATAAAATGTCATTAAATATCCTTAATTGATATGTGTTAATTTGTTTCGTTTAAGGAAAATTTGCACAATTTGTAAGTGTTAAGAAAGTATTTACGTCATGTTGTTAGCGGGCTGACGTATGTAGTATGTATCTATGTATACTATGTTTGTTTGTTAGGTTACTCGTAGCAGTCTGTGCCAAAAAACATTTTTATTACTAGTAGTCTTTTGTTATTTTGGGCTACTAAGGGTTAAGAAGTCTTCTGGTCTAGAGCAACAAGCAGCACTAGCAGTTACTGGACAATTTAAAGCCTTAAAAGAGTTTTACTGTCTCAGCTTCCATTTAAAATAACAGTATTTGGTCAATCATGGAGCCAGCATTAATGTGGAATGGGTTAAGGGGCCCGCACACGGTGAGCATTTGGCGCGCGCCACTTGCGCTGCGCCGTTTTCTCATCGTGTGCGGGGGTATTTTGGTGAGATATTTGCCTCTCGCGCGGCTGAGCAAAATTTCTCACGTGTTTGATTTTTTTGGTCTCTTGAGGCAAATGTCTCAGCGTGTGCGGGGTGCAAGCGCCGAATGCTCACGCCATGCTAACAATGCGCATGTGCCAGTAGCCGGAAACAAAGAAAAATGGCAGCCCCCAGCGAAGTAAACAAAAATGTACACAGTTATAGTTAGTCAGATTGATTAACGTGGTCACCATTTGCCATTACTTTCAGAAAAAAAATAAATATGTAATGTTTCCTTAATCACATGATCCCACAGTTTGCGGTGCGTCCGAAAGGGGCAGGCCGGGAGGCATCTCTGCTGAGCAAAGAGCGCATCGTTTGCGGGGAGCTGAGGAGCCCGAGCATCTAGCGCAGCACAAGTGGCACGCGCCAATTGCTTACCGTGTGCGGGGTGCTTTAGGAGTTCTGATGGAACACTAAAATGCAGTTAAATTCAAAGTGATTGTTGGAGGGAGGATTTGCTCTGTCTACTTCCCCCCCCCCCCCTTTACATAACAACGTTTATAAATACAGTATTAGCCCTTAAAAATGGTCATGAATGTCATATTGACATGATTTTGTTTATCATCCAAACGTGACATAAAGCTTTTAGCTCACGTTAAATTTAGTAACTTGTGACACCCCAAAAACATCATTGCAAACACCAGTGTCTAGATCACATATCACCATGGCCATTTAATCATATGATCGTATCAGTATCGATGGAGACGTTTTTATTAATAGTCCCCTTGTTACATTTTTAGATAGTTCTGTTCTGACTGTTTATTTTCATGCAGTATAGAAATCTGATCCTGACATTACCCAGTTCTTCCTTTTCATTTCCTGATTAGTTCCCTTTTCTGTAATGACACTTATACATCACTTGGACCATAATGATTTTAAAGCCCATTGTTGCTAGTTGTGGCATATCATGTCATTGTAGTAATTGCAGAGGCTGTGAAAGTATTTTGATATTTTATCGTGTAGGTCTTTTCACATTATGATTTACCTCTGTGACAACTTTCAAATCCATTAACCTCATTTTTTACCTCTTTACCTCTTTTCCTATCTATATTGAGTGCATTGGGTTTAAGATGATTATGTGTTTGTGTGTGGTTGGAGGTGTGTGCACGTGTGTGTTTGTGTGTGTGCGTGCGCACGTGTGTATATGAGAGAGAGACTGGGGAGGGGGTTGTTTAAGAAAAATAAAAATAATTTTCACATACTCAGGACTGATTTCTCAACCTATCTCTGCACTTACACAAAGACGTTTTACACCATAAAACATTTCCATTTGTGAAGGGGACTCTCCCTGACTGCAATCAGCTTTTAAAACAAAATGACATGCTTCCTCCTGGTATTACTAGTAAGTAGAATACAGAAAAGCCACATTATGATTATGTGAGCATGTTGGAAACAAGAGGAGGAGTGTCATTAAGATAAGCTGATTGCACTTAACGAGTTGGGTCAATCTACGCACACCAATAGTGTGTATGGGAATACAGTCTTACTACTAGTAGCATTAATTGGGCTCATTACATTCATTCTTGTTCGTATTTTTCCAGGCCGGTGGTATCATGGAAACTGTTCCGACAGTCTATTAACGAGGTCCACACAATCAATTCTTCCCTGGAAGCTCTGGCCCTGAAGTCCACCATTGATTTGAGTTGTAATGACTTTATTTCTGTGTTTGAGTTTGATGTTTTTGCCAGGTGAGTATGGTGAACAAGTACCACTTATCTCCGTTTAGAAGACCCGCATCAAAATATGATGTATTTTTAATATTAGTCCATGATTGATACTTTCACTACTTTATTTCAAAGACTTAAATTTGACTTGTTTCCAAGAAAATTCTGTCTTGATGTTAGGTGTATTGTGTATGATGAGGCTATCAATATAATAATGGTTAAGTCATGTTTTTTAAAGAAAATACATTTTATTTTGTTGAAGTTGTTTTAAGCATATGCATCACAGAAATGTGAATTATGTACAATATAAATGGAATATTATATAAAAAGGCTAATACAAATAAATAAATAAATTATTTATTTATTTATTTATTTATTTATTTATTTATTTATTTATTTATTTATTTATCAGCAGTTTTATTATTTATAAAACAGATAATTTGAATTTATATGAATATGTTGATTTTTTCAGACTATTTCAACCCTGGGGTAATTTGCTGAGGAACTGGAACGTTCTGGCGGTGACCCACCCTGGCTACGTGGCGTTTCTGACGTATGACGAAGTCAAAGCACGACTTCATAAATACATTACCAAACCAGGAAGGTATGTGTTGTAAATGCAGTTACTTATTTTACACTAGCATGCATGTTTCACACCCAATTTAGTCAGATAGGAAATGTTTGTCAATGAAATTGAAATACCTCATGAGTAGAACCCTGGACAGTAAACTACATGAATCATTTGTTTTCACCCCTGAGCGTCTTTTACACCCACTTTGGAAATGAGGATGAAAACTTTGTCACTGTGCTATGATTTCAGTTGTGATCGTGCATGTTTGGAGTTATAAATACTAAGATATTGAATTGCAGTCAAGTCATGCTTGGCCCATCTTTCAGGATATAAGAGTTTTAGACCCAATTTGATTTTTTTCTCATTTTTTGAACTCAGGAATTGAACTTAAATATGTAACTATATCAGTAATCTGTTTTCAAACTAAATGTTTTGTATAACAATTCCCACTCTCTTGTATTCCAATCATATATATATATATATATAACAAATCCTACTCCCTCTATATTCCAGCTATGTGTTTCGCCTGAGCTGTACAAGGCTAGGCCAGTGGGCAATTGGCTATGTTACCACAGACGGTCAGATCCTTCAGACCATCCCTCAGAATAAGTCCCTGTGCCAGGCGCTACTAGATGGACAACGTGAGGGATTGTAAGTACTTGGGTATTCATTACAGGCAACTCAAGGGCCTGTTACAGTACACAAAATTACATAAGGTCAAATATTGGTGTAGGGGACCAACCAGAATGAAATTTGTCGACCTAGCTTATACACATTAACTCCACAAGGACCATCACAGATCACTTGTTATTATTTCGAGAAAAGAGAGAGAGAGAGAGAGAGAGAGATGACTAGAGGACAACTATTTTCAGAGAGTTAATTGCCCTAACTTTCATGCCAACGTGTTTATGACCCTCACAATCATACTAAGTCTTACTGTTCCAGTTACCTATATCCCGACGGCCGGAATATCAATCCTGACCTCAGTTACCTTGTAAACGACCTTGAGGAGGACCACGTGCAGGTGACGCAGGAGCAGTACGAGCTGTACTGCGAGATGGGCTCCACGTTCCAGCTGTGTAAGATTTGTGCCGAGAACGACAAAGATATTAGGATAGAACCGTGTGGCCATTTGCTGTGTACACCTTGTCTTAATGCTTGGCAGGTCAGTGGGGCGACTTTACTGATGTGTTTTGTATTTATTTATTTATTTATTTATTTATTTATTTATTTATTTATTTATTTATTTATTTATTTATTTATTTTTTACAAGAATTACAATATATTTATCTTAAAAATAAGAAGTGATCTTTTTTTCCATTCATCATTTATGTAGTGGAAAAAAGTCTTTTGATTTAAGCAAAAAATATGTTGATTTAAAGATATTTTTCATTTATTAATGATTTCATGAAGTTATGTTGGATAACAAAAATAATTACTAAATTAAAATAATATCATTGTTGATAGTAAAAGTAAATAATTTTTAGTAGACTAAACAGGGCGTGAAAATATGTTTAGTCATCTAAGAAAAAAATTAATATGTATCACTCGAGATGTAACAGAAAGTGAAAAACCTGTTTCACTTCAATATCAGTGTTGGACATCAATTTCGATATCTTTATTTCCCTATGCCAGGACAAGGACGGACAGAGCTGCCCTTTCTGCAGGACGGAGATCAAAGGGACGGAGAGCGTGGTCGTGGACCCCTTTGACCCCAAAACTGTCAGCAAGCTACGAGACAAGGAGAAGAAGGGGACGGGAGGTCTGTCACCCTCTGAGCACTCGGACGATGATCAAAATTCTACATTTGAGGTAAAGGTCATTCAGAGTTGGTGTTAGTGGCTGATTTGAATTTTTACCTTGGGGTTGATGGAGTGGAGAAAAAGTGATAGAGGGAAACAATGCCAGCATTGTTTTTCAGTTATGTATGCATGCAGAACATTTTTAGGGAGATAAAGCAGTGTTTCCCCCTCGTGGCTTTTGATTTTGACCCCCCTCCCCCCTTAAGAATCGAGCTTTGGATCTATTTGTTTGATTGGTTTGTTTTTTGTTATATTTATTTATTATTTTTCTACTTACAACTTTATTGCTGACACTGAAATTTCATCTGAGCACTTTTCCTAAGGGGCATATGATCTCATTAAGTGCTGAATTATCTGGTTCATGAATTGCTGTCACTCTGTTTGTCCCCTTTTGAACTGTGTTATTATACCTAGAACCCTGCACACTGTGGGACAGCCAACGTTCTGAGACAAAAAAGATACTGACACCACTGTCATAGTTAATGTGTTGTTTGATGCTAAACTTCAGTTGTTAGAATTGATTGTAGGCTGTTTGTATTGCATTTGGTTATTTTAGTTGAATGTGTTTTTGACTGGAAATGTTTTAGATTAAATGTTAATGTGCTGATTTTTTGCAAATTTATGTACTTCAGAATAGATTGTTTTTTTTTCTGACTGATTTTTCTTCTAGAGGCACAGATAAGCATGACAAAGCTTGAATATAATCAGATTTCTCAATTCAAAGATTGTTGTTTCTCAGATATAAATATATTTGTGAATTGTAGTGTTAGTGTACATTTCAGTGGTTGATCTTCTCTCTAATAAAAAAAATACTAAAATTAAAGGTATAATAATTTGGCTAACCCTGTCTAATTTCTCTGGCATCAAAATGTATAAGGTCAACTCTCATGTTTTTGAAAAGAGCACAATAACATTGATTATGTAAAAAATGTGTTTGTTCCTGAGAAACATTGATCTAAACCAACCATTGCCCTGCTTTGACTGTTTTAAGAAATATTCTAACCTTATCTTGGTCTTCTTTTTTGCTTACAGATGAAGGTAAAAAATACAAATGATTTTTATTTTCTCACTTTTTGTGGTGTAGCTTTTGTAGATGCAGCTTAGCACAGTTTACGTGTCTGTGTTTGTAGATAACAGCTGTTCAGTTACTATTACTATGGAATTATAACATTTTACATATAATTAAAAGACAGTTGTCTGTAGTGGATGTTTGCATGGTCTTAGTTGAACTTTCAGTGGGTTTCACTGATAAGAATTGACAGGGTTATAACAATTGTTATTTATGTGGGCAAATTCACAACTAGACTTACTAATGTACTGGAAATAATCTATCTGACATAATCATCAGGTCACCAAATACTGGTCTCCCATCTGGAAACTTGAGAACTGTTCAAGCCATGAATTTTTATAACTATGTCAGCTGTAGAGAAGAGTAGAAGAAACAGCTCTGCAAATTTCACAAAAACTCAACTGAAAAAAATTCAATTTTAGAAAATTCTGTTAAGTCCCTTAATAATTTTTCAGGTATTTACTCCCTTCATTGAGTTCCAAATTATACATAAATGTAGATTTTTATAACCACATTTATCTTCACAAAGTTCATTCCCTATACTTTCACTCCATGCTCCATTCATTACTTATATTTTCAACCATTGCAAATTTGACAGGGAGTAGTGATTTATTATTACTTTAAAAAGAATACAGCTTGCTTTTGACAAACAATGTATCTAAAAAGAAAAAATAGGAAAATCTCAGTCTATGAAAATTCAATATAAGACGCTGTATGCAACCTGGTCTTCATGTGACAATAGACACACATGCACGCGTGCACGCACACACACTTGTAGGTCCAACAGAGCTTTTTTGCTGATCATGAGTAAAAATTGAAGCTGTTGATTGCCTGCATGAAAAAATCCCAATGGAAAGCTTTTTGAAGTGCTCGGACTGCCATATTGATGTAATATTCATACTGCTCAAAGGTGGTGTATTTTGCATGCTTTTATGAGCAACTGTGACAAATTCCTTTCTAAGGCCGCAACAGCAGACTGACAGATCTGCCCATATCAAATATGGCCTACCCACTTGAATGTTTGTTGAGTAATCCCCTCGGGGAATCTGTTCTGTGTGAAATCAAGAATAAAACGACAAGCTTTTTAGTGGGTCACTATATTTGATTGGCAGATCTGTAAGTCTGCTGTTGTGAATTGTGGACTTATAGAGAAGTGGCTTAAAGGTTTACTTGATGGCAGACGTCCATGTTTAAGGGCATGTTTTGACCACAAAAATTTTTGTTTGTCTTTAACATGTCCAGCAACATTTCTGAGATCATATTTCCCTTATAGGCTGCTTTTTTTTTTTTTTTGCATTTCAGAAAATTACATATTTTATGCAATTTTACTTCAAAATGATACAAACTTTGTAGACTAACAGAGAATCAGAAAAATTGAGATATTGTAGATGATGGGTTGTGTGGGGATGGGGATATCCTCTTCCTCAAGCATGGGTATAAATATCAACATTAGAAAGTCCAATATTAGAAAGTCTTGTAACATTTTTAGTGTTGTGTTATGTCTGACAAATCTACTGATGTGTGTACTGTGATTGATTGGTATTGGTGTTTAAGTTTTATTAATAACATATTTATATATATGTGGATGAATATCTGTGATTGTTTTATGTTTGTATTTATTTGAAACTGGTATTGTTTTCAGAAATTTTATGTTATCAGTTTAGCTTTTAAAGGAAATGTAATAAAACAGAATAATTGTATGTTAATGCACTGCTGTACTTCATGAATTAGAAGGAATTCAGAAGTAAGCTGATCTGGAAATAGACTTTATATATTGCTTGAAAGACATCCATATGTTGTTAATAGAACTAAGTTTGTAAATAAGACTGGGTTAACCCCCTCCAATTGAAGATTTGTGTTGTTATAACACTTAAAACAACTTTCATAGTCTACCACAGTTCTATAAATGTACTTGGTGCATTCATGTAATAATTGCCTGCTTGCCTTGGGCTTTTTAATACCCAGTCTCGATTACTTTTTTTGCTTCATTGCTTTTGTTGCTTTAAAGAGTTTAACTTACCTCTTTTGCTGCTGACTTGAGAGCTCAAAATGCCATAAATCACATGATTCTCTCAGTTGAGTCCTCTGTTTGTTCTGCAGGACCCAGGGCAATGGTTGCTAGTCACTTTAGGAGACAAAACAGGTGGTCACGCAGCAGAACAGGTAAACACAGTGTGATGGCTATTGATGTTTTGATGGGGAATGCCATTTTCTAGGTCCTAAGAATGAATAACCTTACTAGTAAATTGATAATCCTTTGTAAGTAACAGTCTTTTTCTGCACATTTTGATCACTTTTGGGGGTTAACAAGACAAAAGCCTTTGCTGTGATAATGCCACATTTAATTACTTCATTCATAACATGTTAATGCTTTGATATAATGTGCAATATGAGAAGCAGGTAATGAGCTAAAATGCTCATATCTATTAGTACAGCTCTTGTCAGTACTTAAAAAACAAGATTTTTAATAACAATTTTTTGATTTCACTAAATGAATTTTTTTAGGATTTGTCTCCTCATGTCCGACGGCGAGATCTCCCGCCTCCTGTCCCGCCCAGACGTCTGTCACCAGGCCCCTCCCCTCGCCACTCCCCCGGCTCTTCACCTAAAGCAACAAGGTAAGTAAACTGTCACAAGCCACTCCCACCCCCCGTTTTTTTCTTTCCAAAGTCTGTACACAATTCAGTTGAATAGAGATAAAGCAGTATTTTCTTTAATGTAGATCTTGGATAAATGCCTCTGCTATTTAATACAGTTAGGACCTTTTTTTTTCGTATTTTAACATGTGTATTTCCTTCACCTTCAGCTTAATGGTATATTTTATTTCTTCAGGCGACCACCCCCTGCCCCGCTCCCTGAAGACGAAGATGATGTGCCTAACTATGAGGCCCCAGTTCCCAGTCCACTGCGTAAGGAGGCTCCCCATACAGCACCACTCACTTCACCACTGGCGCATAATGCAGATGTTAATGGCGACCCTAGCGGTGAGTGGTTATGATTGTGAATTGACAGCAGATAAAAGAGAGATACTCACTCAAGTTGTCACAACAGAACAGACTCACAAAGATGCAACTGACAAATGCAGATACTTGAGAAAAAAAAATTATTTTATTTCAATTTTTCTTTGATTTATTTATTTATTTATTTAAATTTGTGACATAACTTATTTGCTAAACTTCGCATATCAGTTGAGAAACTATAAAGCATTGCAGTTGAATTAATTTCAGACAAATGTTTAGGCTATTTACTGTATGTAGTTTTAACTAAATATCAATAGACCTTTATTGTATTGGATGAAATAATATTTTTTTACATAGCTTTCAGTGCATTACAACTTTATATTATATATGTAACAACACTTACCAGCATACATCTTATCTTTGGATTGTATCTGTATGTGTGCATATATACATATAAACATATATTTATCCATCTGTCATATTCTAGTTCCCTATGCAGAGCTAACCTACGACATCCCTATACCGCGGCACCACTCCCTAGAACACCTGGAGCCGCGGCAACAACAGCACGACGACGACAAGGCCGGCAGGAAACGGCACTCCGCAGAGGGCCCTGGTACTGCCAACCAACATTCCAATCAACATAGAGACCAAGACACCAGTCACAATACAGGTGAGTTGACAGGTACATAGACACCAGTCATTATACAGGTGAGTTGACAGGTACATAGACACCAGTCACAATACAGATGAGTTGACAGGTACATAGACACCAGTCACAATACAGATGAGTTGACAGGTATATATACACAAGTCACAATACAGGTGAGTTGACAGGTACATAGACACCAGTCATACTACAGGTGAGTTGACATGTACATAGACACCAGTCATAATACAGGTGAGTTGACAGGTACATAGACACCAGTCACAATACACGTGAGTTGATAGGTACATAGACACCAGTCACAATACAGGTGAGTTGATAGGTACATAGACACCAGTCATAATACAGGTGAGTTGATAGGTACATAGACACCAGTCAAAGTACAGGTGAGTTGACAGGTACATAGACACCAGTCACAATACAGGTGATGAACTTTATATGAAAAAAATTGAGATTAGCAGTTTTACTTAAATGCTTGTTATCTCTGTATCTCATTGTCAAGTGCCATATGATGTACGTTAGTTTACACACTTTCTAGGTCATTGCAGTGTTGAATGATAATAATTGCCATGACTGATAGAATGTTCCTTTGTATTTTATATTTCTAGGTCACTTCCATGTGCCCAGTGACTACGACCTTCCTCCCCCACCACCAACCAGGGAACAGTCATTTAAAGGCAGCTCCTATCATAGGTATATCGCCAGAAATATCCAAAAACCACAACTTATCTTTCTCTTTGCATAATTAAATTACCCTGCACTTCAGATCTGAGCCACACCTCTTCATTTTCAAATCTCCATATCAATAAGATTTTTAGTTGACAATCAACTTCTGTCACCCTGAGCTTCAGAGTTAACTTGACACTAACCTTTTCACTGTAGCCTATCTCCATCGTGTCAAGTAACCTCTGACCAGATTCGAGTGCCCCCGCCGCCCGCCAATCAAATTTAAAGCCCGCACTCAATGACTCATTGAACGATCTAGCCAATGAACGCGAACGAGTCAAAGCGCGCTTTGTTCAAATCCGGACCAATCAAAGATAAGGCTGAATATCAGGGACTTGCCGTAACCTGTGGGCAGCACGCAAAATACATCATCCCTCAGTAGATAATGATGCAGGGCATCATACTGCTCTGGTTTCAATTCCGATGTACTCCATGCTTTCTTTGTGTACGGTTATGCACTCGGAACCACTCGGAACTACTCGGATGTCTCCGCACTCGACAATAACTATGTTGTTAGTATGGAGCTTGCGGAATCAGCCGAGGATTGCCGATTGACGATCAACCAATCAGCGTTTTCACCAAACTTTGGTGAAAAATTTTGAAACATGGATTCGATTGGCTNGATTGGCTTATATAAACTAGGTCAAACTATTTTCGTCAGAGGTTACTTGACACGATGGAGATAGGCTACAGTGAAAAGGTTAGTGTCAAGTTAACTCTGAAGCTCAGGGTGACTTCTGTGGGTGTACATGAAAGTTTGGAAATGAAGAAGCTGTCTAATATCAGTTCTTTTTACTCTATACAAAAGACTATACAGAAGTTGGTTTTCATACTTAGAATCCTTCCATGGTAGACAAAGCATTTCAAGAATGTTAGGGTCTGCAGTTGATGTGAAGCTATTTGTGTTCAGCAAACCATGGCCTAGTCTCTGCTTTTTAATTTTTTCACATCAGTATTTGGTGCAATTTGAATGCAAAAGTTACCAAAATGTGGCAAATTCACCATGTTTTCTGCAAATAAAGGTATATATATATATATAGATAATATCTCTAACATATTCCCTTTCAGTCTGATTTATTGATAAGCATTTTATCATACTTTCCTGTTTCATTACAGTCCAACAGAAAATCCAATTCCTCCTGCAAGAAGAGACAAGTTAAAAGAAAGTAACAAAGAAAATGATGACCGCTGTGGAAGTCTTAATGAGCAGCATCTGGACGAACTACTTAGAGAGGGACATGCACGCAGTGCCGCAATACGAGCCTTACTGATTGCAAAAAATAACATTGATATGGCAAGAGAAATATTGCAGCAATTTGTCCCAAGGACATAGCATATTCATCTTGGGCTTGGCCCATTAATTCTGATTGGTTTAAGTTCTTGGTTGCCATGGGCAAAGAAACCGGTGATTCTGATTGGCCGGTTCTTGGTGGCCAGGAGTGAAGAAACCAGTAATTGTGATTGGTTAATTCTTTGTTGCATGGGTGAAGAGTAGAAGTTTCATATTGCACTGTTAGAGTCCTATAAAAACAAAATTATGTCCATCATTGTAAACACAAGTTTTCCGTGAGTGATGTATGCAAATAATGTGGTCAGCTTCTAGTTCTTTCTAGAGTCTTCTCAAAATGCATCCTCTGTTGTCAGGTCAGAGAAGATGAGGTGAAGTACCTGGTCTTGCTCATGTATTCAATAGACACCTTCCATTGCTGTCACCCGTAGTTCCTTCAGTGACGTAAAGAAAAAACAATTGGAGATCAGAAAGGGCAAAACACTGCCATTTATAATGATTTTGTATGGAGGGACAATATTTTGGTTTGTTTATGTATTTAATTATTGTAAGTGCAAGGAAATGGGCCCATTTATACCTATCAAGGCAAGCTCTACAAGGCACCCCTTATATTGCACAATGGGCCCTCCCATGTGAGTGCATCAGAGGAGTTCACTAAACATCTAAGGGGTGTAGGGATATTGCAATGTCCGTGTGTGTGTGTCTGTGTATAAACACATGGTGTACTTCCATTTTAAACTGACTGGATCAGTTGTAGTTGTAGTTTTAATGGCATTGAATAGTAAGTGCAATGTCACAGGAAACCCATATTGATCATGATATATAAATACACTGATATAATCCCATCATATGTGTAATAAGATATATATTTAATGTGTAATATAAATAAGAAATTCCATGATTGATTCTATAGCACCAATGTAAATGAAGAAATGATAAGGTGTTTTTAATATGCGATTTTACTTTGCCTAAAATGGTTTGTATTAAATGAACCAGTTTTAATGTGAAAAGGTCAACAACAGATAATGTGACTAACAATCACAGTCAAAATCTGATGTGACTGTAAAAAAAGTAGCCATTATGTATATCTTTCCTCTACAAGGAGCTGAGGTGACAGTTTTAATAAGTAATCATGTGGTCAGAGGTGAAAAAAAAACATGGATAGATACAGTAAGATACTGGTTAATATGCTGCTCTTTGCAGTCTTATGGTAATTTTTTTCAGTTTTTCCCTTTCTTCTCGATAAGAAGATATGTGATACAGTAATATTATAATGTTATAAAAATCTTCAGCTGATCATTTGTCCCGAGGAATAAATTGCACAGCTGGCAATGTTGCATATTTGGTACGACTCTCTGATCAGCCTTCCTTGAATGATTAGAAAGACAGATTTAATCATTATGATGTTGACTACGAACAACTTGAGAGTACATATGAATAGTGCTACAAACACCCATGGTTTAATTGTTGAAAAAAATGAAATTAAAAAATAATTTGAAAAACGGCAAAGTCAATGCTCACTATTACATGTTGCGTTCAGTAATGTAAGAAATAGGTACCATATTCCTTATGCCAGCTCAAAATCATGTAGATATGAAAATAAGGTGATTCCTGCAAATATTTTAGCTGCAAAATGCTTGATTTTATACCGCAAATTCACCTGGATAAATGTTTCCCTCAAATTTTGCTTGACATTTTCAATTCTACACTACATATTTGTGGCAATATGGGATTTGTACTTTATCGTTTTGTTTTAAAAGCAACATACTTGTTAAAGTAGATAAGAAGTCATAATATGAGCAAAGGTGTTTATTTTTGTAATATAATACAGTTACACAGTATTGGCATGAGATAAACTATTATTATATATTGAGGCAACTCTTGAAAAGGTACAGCATTTGCTTGACCATAGCAGTCCTTCAAAGATAATTTCAGAGGAAATACACCAAGTAAAATTAGATATGCGTTAAAAGAATCAGGATCCATTCTGTATATTTATTTGTGCATTTTCTTTTCTAACTGTATTTAGTTGTGTTAGTTGTAAGCATATATTAATCAGTCATGCCCCGTGTTGTTCTCTTATACTTGCCATATTAAACAGTATCTGTTAACTACATAGATCAAAATGATCATAGGTAAAAGATTTTGTGAAATTTAATATTTCTGTAAAATTGTTTCCCCTTATCCCCAACCTTGTTGCCTTACCTTGTCAGATTTTTGTTTTAACCTTCTTTGAATGTAAAAACAAGATTGGAAACCAAAAGGTGGAAGATGTAGGTCGGTCACTTTAATTATCTATGCTAAAGTGGTGCATTGACTGTGGTTACATAGTTATTGTTTTCTATTTAGTAAAATTGATATGTAAGTTATAATTTAATTTTCAATCGCTACATGCACAATTGGGAAAAGCTTTTGTTTTGTTTCAAGTTTAGTCTGGCAGAGAAAGAAGTGCTTTAGCCAAAGACTTGAACATCCCCAGCAAGTGGCTCTATCAAATGATAAGACACACACCTGATTTTACTATATAACTAGTTAATATTCATTTAGTGAAATAATCTCAAATGTTAGATGTTACCAATTTTATTGCAGAAACCTACTCAAATCAAAACAGACCAGTTCATTCAACGTATTCTTTCTTTATTGTACAATTTATGTTCCCAGTGTTTTGTACTGTATTTGTTACCTGGAGAAAGCATTAAAACATCATGTATTAACTCTTTAACTGTTGTTATAGTAATTGTTGTAACTCCCACAAATAGAATGTGAAGTTCCCAAATTAAACTTGGGAGTTTTGATACTTCTTTTCATGTTTTTCTAATGGTGCAAACAAACATTCAGTCTCGAGTGAAAAATAGTTTTTATTACTGGTATTAAGTCAAAAGTACCAGATGGAGCTAACAAACTAGTTTCCATTCAAGAATTGTTGGTCTTTGCCACTTATTAATAAACCCAGTTGGTTTTCAATTTCAATCTATTCTACAATGACAGGGGCTTCATCATCTGGCTCCGACATGAAGTCCCATTTGAATTTCTTTGTTAAATGTTCCCGGAATTTCAGACCTCTTTTCCTCAAGTCTGATCCTGGGTCAGTGCCCTCTAAATTAGAAAAGAATATCTGCAGGGTCGCAGTCAAGAAGTTGTTACTGGACACGATATCAACAAAGAAGTCCTCCGGTATTTCTCCGACTTGGAAATACAGAACCCTGATCAGTCCACCAAACAAGTTCGGGTGGAGAGCAAGTGCCTCGTCAGACGTACACAAAACATGCACCAGTTTTTTCCACTGCTCAAACCCATCGTAATTTTGTCCAATAAGAAAACAGATGAATGCAAACTGCAGTTCTCCTAGCAAACCCATAGGATTGTCTGAGTAATGTGTGTCTAGTATCACTTTGAGCACATGACTGCTGTCCATACTGTACTGAGTGACCTGCGCAGGGGTGGCGCCCTCTGGGTATTTTTGTTTTGGAATGGCGGAAAAGTTTATTCTAGATCCTGGTTCCACTGTTAACTCTGGCAGCCGTGACTCCACTTCCTAGAGAGATTTGAGATAATGGGAGATAAAATAAAACTTCTAGACATGAGGAAAGTTGTTTAAAAAATTAATCTAATCATTGAATAACATGTCAATGGATTTTGGTCCCCTTTAAGGGTTATCTTTATAGAAAATCTTTGAAAATTTGACTAAAAATAAACACAAGTTCCCAAATGCTGCAGGTTTGATGTAATATTATGATACAGCTTGTGGCTGATTAAAAAAAGCTACCAGGTGACATATTTCCCAAATTCAGCATTTTCAAAACAAGCAAAGAAATAAAATTTATTTAAACTATCAAAACAAAAAATTCTTCTGAAATTGCTTAGCTGATGTTAACAACAACAGTAAGATGTTATCATAGCTGATAAAGCAACAGCAAGATTTTATACCAGTGAAAAACTACTAGTAACCTTGTCTTGTCTTGTCCCAGATGGCGCTGTCTCCATCTCCCTGTCTGCCCTCTCTCTGCGAGACTGTGTTGTGCTGCCCTCAGATACAAGCTGCGTTACCGCGGTGATCTTACCACTCTGTGGCTGTAACCTTGACGCCAGTGACTCTGTGATATGATTGCTAAGAGACACCCACTTCTTGTAACTGGAATAATCACGAGCTTCATTAAAAACACAGCCCCTCCTTGTAAAATTTAATCCAAAGGCAAAGAATATCTGATATGATTATAATTAATGTGTTGAACACATTTCAATTTAAAAAAAAAAGATAGCATGTTCACAATTTAGGGTAAATATCCAAAACTGAAACAATTTAGTGATAATTCTTCTAAAAATCCAATCTTGATTTTTATGAGACATCAAAGGCTTCACACTTTCTGATATCTTAATAATTTTTTCGAGATTTAACAATTTCAGACACTCAAAACAAGCCAAATTTCTAAAAAATCCAAATTTCTGAATCACCATATTAAGTATCTTTACAAAGAAAAAATTAAGCATTTTCTCTCAAATTCATGTTGTTTGAATCAACTAAGTAATAACCGCATGTGTGTGAGTGTACCTGTTGTAAGGATATGCCCCAAGATACTGATCTAACTCTTTTCTATTGGATTCCACTCTGTCCTGCTCCTCTTTAGTCACCTCAGTGGTCTTCATGTCTGAAATAGCAATCATTAACAGATAACATGTGACAGCCAACTGTAGAGGTCGCAAAAAAGCTGACAAAGCATNATAACCGCATGTGTGTGAGTGTACCTGTCATACGGATATGCCCCAAGATACTGGTCTAACTCTTTTCTATTGGATTCCACTCTGTCCTGCTCCTCTTTGGTCACCTCAGTGGTCTTCATGTCTGAAATAGCAATCATTAACAGCTAACATGTGACAGCCAACTGTAGAGGTCTCAAAGCTGACAAAGCACACCTCAAATTGAAGGGAAAAAGTGGATCCACTTGAATACAAGTTGAAGGTACATGTATATAGCACTGCATGTACAATGAGTATACTGAATGGCATACTTCAAATCTCTACTGTAAGACAAAAATTATGAATGTTAAAAAGTGCATATTGTCTTGTTTTCTCAGTCCTGTAGGTGTAATAACCAGCTTCTTGTAAATGTAAATAGTTTTGTTTACATATCTTTATATTTACCTAAGTACTTAGTAAAAAAAATTATATGAAGTCAAAAGCTGTTCAAAAACAAAAGATTGAATTTTGATGAATCTCCCATAAATGCATGTCAAAGACGAATACTGGATACATGACGCCTCTCGGTCTGGGCAATTCTTTTCAGTATAACTCTTGTTAACAATACGTGTGTGAAATACACCTCACTTTAAAAGCCCCCTTTACACTGGGCAGCGTCCTTTCTGCATCCCGTAGTATGGCCCTGTTTAAGAGTAAACAAACAATAATACTTTACGTGCTGACAACTGGGCAATCATTGAGCATTCATTGTGAAACCAAAGCAATGCTTTTGCCCTTTTTTATGGCCACAGCGATGCCAGTTTCATGGTCACACAAAGGAGGCAGGAAGGACACCGTCCAGTGTAAAGGGGGTTTTAGTGGAGTATCAGTTGCTAATAGGAGTGTAAGTGGTTAATTATTCTGAAGTACCTTCAGTGACCTTGTCCCATTTCTTAATCAGCACCTCCCTCTTCTTGAAGTGGTAGAAGAACCCTGTCCTGGGACTGACTTCACCTTCTTTGCTGCAGGCACTGCAAACAACAGATTACAGTTTTCTTAAAACATTAAGTATGTTGAAATTTTAAAATGAACTCTAACTAGGATCCAATATAACAACACTAGTTTACTTTTCCATTAATAATTATGCATACTATTTATGTCAATCGGGGTATGAGTGCATCCCTCCCTTAACCCCCCCCCCCACACACACACACACACACACACACAAACACACACTTAACAAACAAGAACTCAATATCACAGTTAAAGAGTTCATACTATAAAAATACAAAAATAAGCACAAAGTATGAAAAAACTTTAACACTGATGATCATTACCTGAAATAAACAAAGTGGACGCCAGGAGGAATCATCTTCACCCCCTTAAACTTCGGTCCAACTCGCCACGACTGGCAGTCGATCCCAAACTCCGTCCCCTGTGGCACGTCTAGAAACACCAGCATGGCTCCCTCCCGGAACAAAACCTGAGCTTGTTCCTGATCCATCCCTGATGATAAACCTCCCAGGAAATCGTTTCAAAAGGCTTGATCGACCGTGATAATGCGCTGATCAGTTATTCAAAACAAGACTACTCCGGCAAAGATTTTCTGTCTCGCGTATTTCGCACGTTGGTTTCAATGTAAATATAATAGGGCGGCGCTGCTATTCAAGACAGGCTTTTCCCAGTTATTGTTACAAGTGGTGTTACAAGTGGGACAACCAATATTAAGACGATAACTTAATGCTTTTATTCATTACTTTTTATGACTAACTAAACACGTGACAATAAAAGCCTAGGAACTTGATGTCCATATGTACGGACTTCGTTTGCGTTTTCCCTTTAGCTATAGGCACTTTTGCAGTAGGCCCTATTTCCCTGAAATCGGTCGTAGGCCTATATCAGGGCCGTAGCCTCCGGGGGGGCAGGGGGGGGCAGCTGCCCCCCTGGGATTTGAGGTGCAAAAAAAAATAAATAATCGCAAAGGTAAAAAAAATAATTGCAAAGTTGGTATCAATTCTGTGAGAAAATGCACTCATGTTAAAATGCACCAGAATGCAGTATTATACATACAGTTTTTAAAATTTTTCCACACCGTGGGAGGGGGACACCCCCTCCCACCCCTTCCCCCCTCGGGGGCTTCGCCCCCTTGTGTCCGCTTACTGCCCCCCCCCTTGCATTTTGCTCAGGCTACGGCCCTGCTGTGTACAGATCGGGGTTTAAAAGGACGTTCAAAAACCCAAGGTCTGTTATGCCAAGAAGTTATGCACTCCGGTATTAAATACATCCTGTTTTTTTATCTTCCCATTGGACCATTTGTATACACATTTTCATATGAGGTCATACGTACGTAACAGAAATAACATTACTACCTGCTTTCCATTGGGCCATTTATGATTTACTGACCTAAAATTTTTTTAAAATAATGGCTATATATATATTCGGTGAAATTTGTCAGATATTTTCCCTCACTTATAAAATAAAAAATAATTAAATGATTGAAACCAGCTTTAATAATGAAGGGGGAAGCTCCCAAAGCAAATTCAAGTAGCCCTAGGCCGAGGAAGGTAGGTCTACTCATGGACATCATATGTCCATGGTCTACTACAGTAGGAGGCTGCGGGTCTTGTCATTTTTTGTCTCTTTTCGTGCAAAGATGAGCAGTTCACTCAAAGCAATATGTTCATGTTGTGGAGGGGGGGGGCTACCCTTAGATTTCTTTGTCTGAAATATAAACGGCTTTATATTTCAGACAAAGGAATCTGAGTTGGCTTAGCCTACCCATAATATATAATATTATATATTATATAACATAATACCCAAGTGCAGAGCTGTTGAATGCCCCGTACTAGCTGCTTTAGTGTAGCCAGCCTTGCTGTGTTTTTTCTTTTAGTAGCTCTACCAGTACATGCATAAAATTCAAAATGCGAAAAATAACATAGACCACAGATATCCTCTTTAAAGTAATTTATTAAAGCCCCAATATTTGGTTAGTGAGCCTTTTTTTTTCGATTTGTTGGCTGTATAAATGTCACAACCGCACATCCCAGCACAATGGTCACGTGAGTTGATTGTCTGTGACGTCAATTAGCAACAGACATTTGTGAGATTTGGGCGGAAGTTTAAGTCAACTCCGTCCAAAGTTTTTGAGATATCGATGATTTCTCGTTTATTCGCTGAATCGCGACTTCTGTTTTAATTTACGTGTTTGTCATACACGGCTTCATATTATTTGATACAGGGAGATCTTATAAAAAGAATTTTGCCGTTATGAAGATCTTGAAGATCAAAGTTCTGTTGATGTTGCTACTCCTGCAACCTCTCCATGGAGGTAAGAATATCATCAAATTATATTTAACACTTTTGCATCTTTTATGTTTTTTCACCATTCATTTTAGCAAAAATTGTAATTTTTTTATTTGGTTTGTCAATATTTCATGTGTTTTGATAATCAACAACCCACTTTTTGTGTTTTGTTTAGTTTGAGCCTCATTTTTATTAGACCCTACTTTCACTATTTTTAATAGTCTATATATTTAAAATAACCACGCTTTTTATTAATTCTCCTTGCCCTTGATTTTCTTCCTTGTTTTCCATTTTCTAAGCTCCATCCTTTCGTTTATTTGCTAGCTAATACCTTGAAAATGCCTCCTAAGTTTGTGAAAAACAACAGACTTACTTACGCCTTTATATATGCTTTTGCTGGACTCATGTTTGTCACCATGAGCTTTATTATATGGCTGAAGTGGAAGAAGGTACTAAAACAAAACTTTAAGTCTGGCCTGCATGCATATGAGAGTATAGCTTTCTCTTAGGAATTTCTGTAATAGACTAACTTTTTTAAAATATAAAATAAGCAACTGTGGCAAAAAAACTGAAAAATATTTTGTTTCAACTGTAATCAACTTCATAACATCATTGTTTTATTTTGGCATACTTTTCATTTCCTTTATTTTCTTTTCTTTTGCCTTATAATTATAATGGTCATTATCATTTCAGAGAAAGCAGAGTGGTATCATTGTTGTTCCCAAATATTCTGGTGAACATCACTATAGATACATGGTAGCAGTTCAAAATGGGCTGAAAAGTGGTAAGAGTGATGCTATTTTAGATCTTCTAGGTTATTGATTCTGATTCTTATTGAAAAGCTTAAACTAGTTATTATTTTGTGAAATAAAAATGTTTAAGTGTCTTCAGATAATAATAATAATAATATTAATAATGATAATGATAATGATGATAACAATAATAAGAAAATGACAAAAATAGAAAAAAGAGATATAGGCCTTTGTATATTATTATTGAAGTCGTTGCTTAACTGTATATATTCCTAACTATAGAAATGTGTATGTTGTTTTAAATAGCAGGAAAGACGCCCAAAGTCAGATTGCAGTTGAAAGGAGACCAGGGGGTATCTCCTGAATATAATCTGAATGAACATGGGAAAAAGCACAATTTCCTTGGGGTAGGACAGAAGAACTGGTTCCTTTTGTATACCAAAGGTAAACATCTTGAATATTTTTGGAGCACATATAGATTCCATTGCCTGCAAATATTGATTCAACAATATTATTAGCAGTTAATTACCATTTACTTATTGCAATCAATTCAGCATGTACAGTCATTACTAGAACATCTTGTCACAGTTTACTGTTTATATCTATTAGAAGCTTTATTACATAGATCTACTATTATTATTACATATAGTTACAGAACTCCATGCATGTTGCTTATTTATTATAAAGTAAAGCATATTTTGAGAGTGTTAGTGCAAGAATCCTTTTAGGTTTGTAAAACAAGGTGCTGTTGGTCTTGTTTTGTTAAACTAAATTTACTTTTACAATTAAGCTACAACTTTATCATATTTGATGCCTGTTTTATTCTCAAACAACATGCTAACATTATACTAAATGTTTCTTTGTTATTTTTACTTTAAACTCAGAGTCCCTGGGAAAACTGAAGAATGTTGTGGTGAACATCAGTGGAAGACCAGGAGCTCAATGGTAATTTAAAGAACAAACTGCAACATCACAAATATCACTACATCATAGTACTACATTTATAAAAAAAGTTATGCAAATCATAAAGATTATTTCTGTCAATGTTCTGAAATATGATTTGTGTTATGAATGCCTTGGGTGCCTCTGTAGTTAAAGCTATATTCATGGAGTTATCTAGATATATTAATATATACAGAATGAAAAAAAGTGTAAGCTAGCATCTCAGTACAGATATTTAGAAGCAGCAATTTATTCCAAATACCAATTGTTAAATATTTGTGGTTAATAAAGAAACTTGAGCAAAAAAAAACTGTAATATATATTTTTCTTTCATTGAAGGAATATGCTGGACATAACAGTATATGATACAGTATCTGGCTGTGAATCTCACTTCAGCAGCAATGGATGCCTCACAGTGGGATACACCACTTTGGAGTCTTGTAAGAACTCCAGGTAAAGTTGGACACTTTCTCACAATTAATAAATAAGCATATAATGTACTTTGAAATGACTGTTTTTGCAAGTTATCAACACATAGAATATAAAAGATAATAATAATTATGACATGTATTCTGATTTCTTAATGCAGTATACAGTTTTCCTTAAACATGGAATGTACATGTAGTATTTAATTTTCATGTACAATGTCTGTACTTCGATATTTTATATAAATTTAATATTTTTCAGGTTTGGACTGCAAACTTGCCTTCTGTATATGTGGTCCTGTCATGGATGGACACGCTGTTCCAGCTTGAAGCTGGCCCCTGTCCTTCTGTGGTTTAACAGCACCTTGAACTACATGTTTGCAAACATGCTGCTTACCAGTACCCTTCTCAGTGCTGTTGGTGTCATTCAGCTTGATAGAGACATCTTCCTCTCCAGCCTCCTTGTCAATATAGGAACATTCCTTGTGAATGGCACATATGATGTAGCAATGTACAATATCAGGTGTTATGACAGAGAGGACACTGGTGACACCACTGTGCTGCAGAACCTGGAAGATGAGCCCCAGTATGATGACATGTAAGGAGCCTTTTTTTTTTTAAGACTCCTCATTTCATAATTATGTTGGAATAAAGTTAAATTTGTGTTCAGCTTTGGGAGTTGATCACAGGTCTTGCTCATAGTGATGTCTGAGTCTGAAAACTTGTATTAGACTGCACCCAATTAAAAAAGACTACAAAAAAAACTGTTTTCATCATAAATCTGTCTTATTTTGTGTTTTACTGTTGAAATGGTGTCATATTATTTTGCTTTTATAAAGTGACACATATATGCTTTGAGTGTGTTAATTAATGGAGTTATTCATTGTGGCCAGAGTGTTATTTTACCAATATATAATACTAATTCTTTACAATATTTCTTGGTTAAAATGAAGAAAGATCAATCAGTTTCTTTATTTTTTCAGTTGCACAATCAGTGATGGGTTCCAACAAGTTGTGCATGGAAGTGTGGAGACCATGATGAAACAGGTGGCTTATGACTTTGAGAAGGGCTATGATTTGGCACGTGCACATGTTGAACACCAGGCCATGGCACAGATTGAAGAAATGGTTGCCAAGGAAAATTTGGTGGTCAAGGAAGATATGGTTGCCATGGGAGATGTGGACAGCAAGAAAGAGGTATTTATTACTTTTTTTTCTATTTTTAGTTTGTGCATACATATGTATGTGCCTGTACAGATATCATGGATTGCCTTTGAGACATACATGTATTGCCTTCTTGTAATTAAAAACAGACACTTGTATCACCCCTGTAACATTTGACAAAATAATATTTGTTTTGGCTTATAAGCACATATACTAATAAAAACATAAAAAGACATTATGGGCTGTATACTAATATTGTAGTATGTATTATTGCGCATCATCAAATGACTATCAGAATAAATGTCTCTGTCTGTGGTTTATTTTGACTGAATTTACCAGTCAGCAGAACCGATTATTGGATGATTTTCAATTTTTCAGAAAACACCCAGCTACAACAGCACTCCCAGCTCTAGTGCCCTGTCCACTAGCAGCATCATACTCCAGATGCCAGAAGTCTCTAGGGAGAAAAACAACTGCATTGCTTCTGAGTTCTTCACATATGCTCCTCCTCCTAACAACCCTAGGCTGAACTCAAAGATGCAAAAGGAGATACAGGCAGAGCACCAAAAATCCCATGCTGGGAAGACTTCCAGCTACAGAAATGCAGATGTTTCATCTTTTTACAGTCTGATTGCTCACTTCAACCCAAGTTTTCTCCACCCAGGTAATTATATACATATATAAAAGTTGCATATATATTATGCTGTAGAAATGTCTATCTGAGGATGTATTTTTAATCCTTTTTTATAGTGTAAAACAGATGTAACATTTTTTTATTTTGATTTTCTGGTTCTTAATTTATGTTCAAGAATAGAGTAATATCACTGAAACAAAGAAGTTCTCACATTTTCCTTTATTTGTTTAAAACAATTTTAGAATAACCTTATTTCAGACATCAACCAGACAAAATACAATGATGAGCTACCAAAGCAGACACCTGAGCATGATGTGGCAGTGGATGTAGAGAAAGGTAATTGTCAGGTGGAAAAACATATTGTAGCGCCAACAGCTAGTTGGCATTTTGTGAACATTTCAAAGCAGTTTCAAGATTTTCATATTTTGTACAAATGTCTGATACAGAAGTTTTTAATATCTTTATAATTTTTAATTAATTTTGCAAAGATTCGTTTTGCCAGACTTCCAAACTTCAAGTCATTTATTTTAGTTTATATAATGTTTTGAAACATTCAGCTAAAGAAGGAATGCCACAGTTTGCCACTGCACCAGAAACTGTAGCTGTTAATATTTGGGAAGGTAATTGTCCATTTTGGTATCATGTCTGTCAGTTCAGTTCAGTTAATTATTTTAAAAAGAATGAACATATAAAAAGATAATACATTTTCAAGTATGTATCCAAACAGTTTACATTTTGAAGATATTAAGAACATTGGATTCAACATAAACTCCCTTGCCCTTACTCATTATAATTAAAACATTGATTATGGTCGTATGGGAGGAAATAGTAGCCTACTTCAATTCGAAGTAAAACTTTCACATACTTTCTGCATTTATTCACTCATTTCCACACAATGTGTTCCAGAACCATCAGATGAGGTGCCATACACTGAGCTGAAGTCTTTGGAGATGATGGTCAACAGAAAACACGATGGCGGAAAGTTGCCCCACATTTTGATCTATCCAGCAGTCATTTTGTTGGGGGCCTCCGTGGCTTTGGCTCTATTTCTCACCATTGCGTATGGCGGAGAGCTGAGTGATAGTGCTGTGTTCAACTGGGCAGCTCTGGTAGGAGTGGCACTGCTAGAGGACTTGTTTGTGTTTCAAACCTTGAAGGCAGTTTGTGTTTATGGTTACTGTCTACTTTTCTCATCAAATGAGGCTGGTGAGGATGCTCACAGGCAGGAGAAAACACAGCTTGTTAAGTTTTAAAAAACTCAGTGTTCTAGTGCCAGTGGAACCTTTGACATATTAGTGATATAATTTCAGAAATGGTGCAAGAACTTATATTTAACAGACTCATGGAAGACTCATTGAACTTTGTCCTTAATATTTAATGCATAGCAATGGTGCAGAAAATGTGACCAGAATCTCATGAAGTTCCTTTTTTATTAATAGATACAGCTGTTCATGATCTCATTCACTTTTAAATAGACATTTTTTAGATAACTAAGGCATTCAATGCTGAAATAATGTACTTTATTGATCTGTGATAATTAAATCTACCTTGAGTATTTTGTGAATATTCTTTTTCTTTTACTGACCCTTGTGTTCAAGTTTCAAAATATTGAATATAAGTTTGCAAAAAGAAGAGAATGTTTCATGGATAATCATGGCAAATTATGCTCATTTAGGTTCGAGATATTTTGAATTTGATAAAAACCAATCTTTCGTATTAAAAAGGAGTCAAGCTAGTGAAATCCTAGATAAAGCCAGTTAATTAAACAATTTAATGAATAGACTGAAATATATTCTATGCTTTTCCCTTATTATGTTATGTCAACCTCAAAAATTCATTTAAAAAGTCCTATCTTAACATTTCTTCATCAGATCTTTTATTTCATACAGTGCACTCAAAATCCATTCCCAACTGTTGCCCTCTGTAAGTGATCTGCATTTTTTATTACAACAATACAATTATCAGTCTTTTACAGTTCTTTATTGCGTTTCATTAGAAAAAATTATGTCATTAACATGTTTACATCAGTGGCCAAGATCACTGTTCTCATTAACTGGAAATTAAAAGTTGTATCTTCATCTGCCTTTAACAATTATCTACAGCATTTTCTTTTCTCTCTGATAACTCATATATACATATTTTTGAAATGGTAAATATAATTTACAAAAGCCATTTTCTGGGGAGTAAGTACTCAGGGCCGTAGCCTCGGAAATTGGGGTGCAAAAAAGAAAAGAAAAAATCGCAAAGGTAAAAAAAATAATTGCAAAGTTGGTATCAATTCTGTGAGAAAAGGCACTCATGGCCACTAGACAATCATTCAACAATCTGTTTTTAGCCAACTCAGTTCATGCCAAAAAGCTCACCCTCCCTGAGGGAGTTATCCCCCAGGCCAATTGGCGTGTTGTGTTGAAAAAATGACTGTTCTTATGGCAAAATGAACCCACAATTTCTGACTTCTGATTGACCAATTAATAACAGTTAAAATGCACCAGAATGCAGTTTATACATACACATGTAAATTCTCAGACACAATTAAGCCTAAAATTTTCCGTACAGTTAGCTTACGGCCAACCTGGTCGAAGGCAGGATAAGACAGCAATAACTAACTGTGAGCCAACAGATACAGTCAGAAAAAAACAGTCAGAAAAAAACATTCTCCATTATTGTAAAGAAATTTCAGAGAAAGTGTGCAGGATCTACAAAAAGCACAGTGTCAACACAGCTTTTAGACCCCAGTGCACATTGAAACAACTCCTAGTGGCACCAAAGGACAAAACCCCCCAAGAACAACGTTGTTGGACAATATACAGGATCAATTGCCATGACTGTAATTCCTTTTACATTGGTGAGACAGGTAGACAGTTGAAGATCAGGGTGAATGAACACAGGAAATCAGTGACTGTAGGCAATACCAGCTCTGCCATTTCTGAACACGTAATAGACACCGGCCACAATATCGATTGGAATTCAACTAAGATTCTTGAATCTGAATCATCCGACATCCCGCGAAAAATACGAGAGGCTATCAACATCAGCCGACACCAGCCACCCATGAATAGGGACGGAGGGGGGGGGTTGATCTACCTGACATTTATAAGAGGGTCCTGGCCGCTATACCACCAAGCGGTCAGTGAGTGTGAACAACTACTCACGTCAGTCTGATGAAGGCCTTCGACCAGGTTGGCCGTAAGCTAACGGTACGGAAAATTTTAGCCTTGTGTCTGAGAATTTTCATGTTTATCCAACTACCAAGCTAATGAACATTTTTGCTTATTATACATACAGTTTTTAAAAATGTTCCACACCGTGGGAGGGGGACACCCCTACCAAACCCTCCCCCCTCGGGGGCATCGCCCCCTCGTGTCCGCTTACTGCCCCCCTTGGCATTTTGCTCAGGCTACGGCCCTGTATATATTGGATATTTTCTAGATAGATTATGTCTTAACTTTGAGTTTATGTCTCTGTTATTTAAATACATCAGCTAGAAAATCCATTTACATATTTCTCGATTTTATTACAAAAATTTCACAAACCAGCGCAGGGGTGAAAATTAAATTAGCTTGGAAGTTTGAGAACTTTTTTTTTTTTAGTTAGTAGGGGCCTAAAATTTCAAAATGATTTAAATAGCAGTGACATTGTTCAAAGACTCCAAATAAATTAATTTTGATAAACATAAAAAATTGGATGGCGTCGAAAGCAAATCCCTCCTGCTCTCAATCTGTAACACAGATGTCACTTTGGGAAAGAAGCTTAGGGGAAACCCGTAAAAACCTGTGATGCATTTCAACACATATTTATTCAATATTTTACAGATGTTTACATACAAAACAAAGAATGCAAAACTTCCAGATCTTTTTTTTTTCTTATGAGATTAAGCAGTGAGTTTTACTCTAATTAATTTTGTACAACATAAAACATTTTTTAACACCGTAAAGTAAATAAAACAACTGTCATATAACACTCGATCCGTTAGTAGGCCTACACATACAGACAGTGCATACATCCCTTTAATTGACAGACATTACACTGATATTTATCAACCTGATATAATCTTTGATAATTTCATGTTGCTATTCAAAACGATCAGGCTTTATTCTCCGCATTATCATCACTTTCATATTTTGAAATTTCAAAAGTTCCAATCCATCTAAAATTCTATGCCTTGCAATGCCACAGTTATTGGTTAATATACCTTGCTGCATTTAAACCTTATTAAAACTATTCATTAAAATCATTAACAAAAATAATATCAAAACATGAAAAGTATAACTTAGTTATAGTAAAATATTTATATGTATATAGATATATTATTACAATCTCTATACAAAACTTCACAGCTCTACACAGCTCTTGTGAATGAAAAAATATTTGTATAAAGTTTTTCAATCATCCTCAATGTGATAAGCAAAAATCTTTATCATAAAGCCTCCGCTAGGAAACGTTAAGAGTGTGCTTCATCATAGTGCCTGGCGTTTCAGGTTAGAACTGAAAAAACACCATCTGCTTCATTCAAACGTGGCCATTCCAATTCCCGATGTAATGTTCTCTTCTCGTCTTCTTCCTCTTCTCTTCCTCCATCTTCTTCCTAAGAGCTTTGATGTATTCATAGGAGGGTGCTAGTCGGCCATTGGTTGCTATGACGCTCTGCAATTACACAAAAGACACGTGCACTATTAATGCTAGACAACATTTTAATTTCCCAATTACCTAATTTCTATTTTTAAAATGTGTATTTTGATAAAATTGCAAGATCTTACACTCGTTGATGGTATCAAACGACAATTGTAACAAAAATTCAGAGTAAACTTTGAGAGTCGATCTATCTTATGTTACGCGAGTTAAGACATTTTTTATATCCTGTAAAATATAGTTTTGTTGTGAAATAATTATTGTCGAAACGGTTTGATACAATATAAATGGTGGTAGACCTTTTTATCTTTGATTGTCAAGTGCCGTAGAGCTAAAGAGACGATGGAATTTTTTTCAGAAATTATGTCCATGAACTGCGCATTAAAAATGAAAAATATAACATGCAAACTTACGTTGACCAAAGCAGGACAGACTTGCTCGGTGAAGTCCTCAAAACTGCTTGTAGCATCAGTTCTCAGCTAAATTAAAAAAATTAATGTGATAAAGTTTTGCTTTTATTTATCACATTTATTTCAACAAAAAATTTCGATATCGACAAAATAAATGAACTGTAGAGAAGACGCCAAAAATTGTTTTTAAATTAGTTCTATCAACCCTGTTAAACACACCCAAAAGCCCGGTTACAACACTGTCATTTAACGCCTTTTGCTAGGGATTCAAGAAACCAAGCGACCGAACGCCATGGGAAACCTGTAGTCTCTTATACAGACTAAAAGCAATGGGAAATTCTACCGCGGCTTTTTGCTGCTGGATTGTACACCATAGTGTTTAAATCTGCGCGTCCAAAATTGTAAAAGAAAATCGTCTTATTTTTACCGCTTACCGCAAATCATGTTACACGCTACAATTTAAAAAAGTGTAAACTAGTGATAAAAAACCTTCAATTTTGTATAAAGAGGGTATCATCTAATAACTCATCTCAGATATATCAATTTTGAAAGTTGGGTTAGGCCTTTCGAACGTACCAGTTCTCTTACAAACGGCAGATAGAGGTCGCCGAAGTAGTCGGTAGCGTCTCTTGGGAACTGAGCTGGCATGTTGTCAACAGAACACATCAACACTCCGTCAGCTGTCATGCTGGAAGTGACAATATTGAAATATTTATATATTTATGTCAATATTTTTGCTACCGTCAGTGGCAGAGCTTCCAACAGCAAAATCTGAAGTTGTCGATTGCAAATTTGCCAAAAGTATGTACTGTTTTTCAAGAACGTATATTTTATAGGCTTAACAAATATCGAATAGTACGAATCAAGTTAAAAGTAAAACAAAAAACTAATGAATTAGTACTAGTAAATATGAAAGGTCTTATTTCAAAATGAAAATACCCGTTGTGCGTCGTTTTTCCATGTTTGTCGTAAATGTAGTATGGCGTATCTTGCTGTGTGCATTCCTTTGTCCACTGGATGGAGCCGTCCTCGTCTGCCGAGATGTCAGAAATAGCAAGCAAACGACGAGGTAGGACTGGGTTCCCGCCAACATCGGTCAAATTAGTGGGAGCGTTAGGGTTCCGCGCCAACAACGTCATGGCGTCCGAGTCGCTAATCAGTCGGGGTTGTCCCGGTTCCCAATATGTTCCATTGACGATTACACTCGCGTATGGTGCAAACTAAGAGAAAATGAATATATACGATCCTTAACCGCACATGCTAACAAGAGCCAACGAAATATACTATTCTTATCGCATAGTTCAATAGGCCTATCACTGCACACCACTAGACCTTAATAACTGCGACACATTCTAAAGCAATGTTACATCTACTTTTGAAAATGCATTATTTTTTTTAATTCTAAATTTGATTTTAAATTCTGTTAGGACACTGGAGTAAAATAAGAGCGTGATAGACTCCGTACCTTAGTGGCAAAAACGTCTCTGTAGCGTTCTGGATGGGCAGTAAACTCTGCTTCATCATATCCGCCATCTTGGATCCGCCTCAAACGATGCCTACGGCTGACAACAGTTGCGTAGAACTTATTCTTGGCTAGAAGCAAATAAAGGTATTGATCAGATCTGATTAAAAACAATTAGTTAAATGTTCTTAAAATCAGTTTTATACCTGACATTATTAAAATTGTTGCTTTCAAATATTTCCCTACATGGGATTCTTTTGAAACATTTTAAATATTAGTCTTGTCCTTTTTTTAAAGGAAATAAAAAGGCCACGAAATTAACGTCATGGTGATATTTAATGATGTAGGCCTAAGTATGTATGTATATATATTCATACGGTATTATAATAATGTAATTTAATAATTTAAGGTAAAACTTACATCCTTTCTTGGCAACTTCTTGAAGTCTGTCTGGTTCCACATATTCATGAGGGAAGAGCTTGAACATCTCTTGCGCACCCTGCGCAGTATATCAGATCAGTAATAAAAATTGAATGTCTTAATACTTATTTGTCACACACCTCTGTAAGTCATCGCAAAAAAATATGGAATTTATCTTTTAAAATCAAATGTAAACCTTTGCCGGCAAAAGAAAATAAGATTTTGCCTCTTTTCAATTTGCAATATAATGACGCAAAACTCTTTGAATATCATATAATATTTTACTACAAAAAAACGTCATATTATAAACAAATTATTATTATTATTATTATTGTTATTAAATATCATATTAAACAAAGGCTTACCTTGGACACATCTCCTGTAGCCGTGAAGATGAAAGTCAAAGGCCCTACAAACATATCACTCTCAGCTATCTCTCTCCCGACTTGTGCGAGCCTCTTCTTAGCGTCTTCATAAGAGGGGTAGTTGTAGGCTTGGCTAATATGCTGGAGTGATACAGAACATAAAGACAATAACTAAATAAATTCCAACAAGTAATTCGGCAATCGATAATCGAAATTTTGATATTTTTGTGGTTGTGGTTTGGCCAAAACAATTGGTTTAAAATAATTCCCATTTTGTTAAAATTACTAGTTTTTGAACTAGGCCAAATGAAATAAACTGCATAAACACATACAATTTTTTGTAATAAAGAAGTAATTGCCCGCCCAAAGCATTTTGTTTAGCGAGTCGATTTGACCCATTTTCATTTTTTTTAACAAAACGGCTGAACTTCAGCAATGACTTAATTTTTCTAAGACGACTGCATCAGCACTACATGAGTTAAGCCTTTAGTTACAAAATTAAATTTACAAGCACGCTCGTTAACATTGAAATGCTCGTTTGCTTACTGAACACCGGCAGTCTCGTTTTCATATCTTGCCTTTGGGCAACAGACTGTCACTGTAAGAAAGGAGCTGGTGTAAAGCATTGTAAAGGTTTTTTAAAAACCTTTATTATATATATCATCAACAGTACTACCAACACTTTCCATTTCTCCATACGGGACAAGAGTTTTGTGGTTTGAATTGGACTTAAAGGTAATTGTCGAACAACGAAAGAATTCGTTTTGTGTTTCAGACAACTTAATTTTGCTTTGTTGAAACCACTATTCTCCCATAGCTTTCAGTGGCCGACGTTCTTACTTCCAGAAAAGTCCCAGCTGGAGAAATGACTTATAAGGTATGCTTAGCTAAATGTGAGAAATTCATGCTTTACCATCAGGATTCGAAACAAGATTTTTGCAGACGCATATATTTCAGACGTAAAGTTAGGATTTACAACCGTTGCAAAGTTGTTTCAATTTCTCTTGTTTTCGTCACTTTCAACACCTTTGTTGAAATGTGATTCCGTCATATAGTGGTAGACATCTGATGCTTCATTTGCGATCCTGTCTGTGTACGTGAAACCCAAGACAAAGTGTTGGTTTTGGATCTCTCTACCAAGTTTCTGACCTTACTACTATCAGTAAATACGCATTAACAAACAAATTCTCATACAACTAAATGCAAATACATACTTTCAACTCGCACATCTTTCAAATATAAAAACTCTTAATAAAAAAACAAACTACTGCATGCATATAAATTACGAGATAAATTGTTGTTGGTTTACCAGAACCATCGTGACCAAATTAGGTAAAACGTTCCTATTTCTTTCTGTAAATGAACCATTATTTGCCTATGTTTTCCTACATGTGTCAAATGCTGTCAAGAAATTCTATACTTTTTCACAAATATGCATACTACTATATACTGAATATCATAACAATATGAGTCAATTATTATGAGCCCATTATGGCACACTTCAAATCCAAAATCCTACCACAGACGTCTCATTCGGTTTTGAATAAATGAACGTTTGTCAATGATATATGATTAAAAAATACTAGATTCTAGTTAAGTTCATTGTTCTGGAACTTTGATCATGACATACTTTTTGTTATCTCCGCTACGCAAACTCATCAAGCAGACTGTATGAACTGTTTACACCCACCCACCCCTAAGTTTCAGGATCCCTTGGGATTCAATCTCTTGTCAGCAAATCAACCAGGTAACAAAGAACATAAACTGGTCAGAGACAAGCCAGAGACAGTGGTCTGAAATTCACGGTAAAGTCACATATGAACAACTGCACACGCTCTTAATCTGAAAGAAATAGCCCATTTAAGCTGTAAATCGCTATATGCCCCTAAGAAATGTAATAGTAATTGAGAAAATAAACCGTTTTTCAAATCTTGAAACAGCATGTTCTGAAATATAAAAGAAATGTTTCCCCACGTTCTACATTATTCTTACGTTTTTTATATCTTTAAAATGTATCAATTCTCTCAAACTACTGATGTCGAAGAATCATGTTGTAAATTAAACAGGTCGTATGAAATGTCCAAACAAATGTCCAAACAAGACACGTGGTCTGCTAATGTGAAATAAGTTACGAAATCCGAGCTCAAAATTCCGTATACATAGGCCTGCAAATCTCGAAATCTGAAAAGTTTAAGCTGCATGGCATCTGGCGCCATCTATTGCTGCAATAACGTTTCCCCCCAATAAAAGCACCGAAGCCAACTTACCAGTAGAGGTGTGTTGAATCCCAGTGCCAACAGTCTCAGTCCCAGCCCGCTGAGAACATCCACCATGCCAACTATACCGGCATATCTACTCATGGCTTTGGCCGGCCACTCTCCTGGACCGTCCACTAACTTCTCGTAGTCCACGATACGTATGTTCTGAAAGACAGATCAAGATCATTGAGTTCCACTAGGTTTTGTGTATTTTTATTTAACGAAAGGAATGAAATTGTACTTCAAGTTTTCATGTGAATGAACTGAGTAAAAAGCAAAAGGCTTAGACAAAGCAGAAATTTTTCCTTTGCCAGAAGTCAGAAGAAGAAGATTAAAACGACAAATACATCTGCTTGGCTGTGTGTCTCAGGTGTAAAAAAAAAACGATTGTTTAAAATGAGGAAATAGCGGCTGATTGCCTCACCTTTTCCAGAATGGCGTCAAGCAGCGGCATGTTGTGTTCCTGCGCCTTGATGGTGTGTGAAAAGAAAGAGTACGTTTTGTTGGGAATGAGATACTCCTCTGGAATCTGCTTGATACTAGTGATCAAGGTAGCGTCCGACAAATCTTCTCGAATCTCAGCCCCCGCTTCTTGGTATTCCTATCAGAAAAAGAAATAATGATTTTGCTTGTCTGGTTTGCAAGGCCATGTTTTTATTCCGAAGTGTTGAAAGGAGTGTGTGGGAGTGAGAGGGGCGGGGGGTTTGGGGGGGGGGGGGGCTTTTACGCACACTTTTTCAACCGATGTCGAAATTTAAGTACAGAAATTTTGCACCTCGAAGTTTTCTGTTGTGGATGATGATTCCCCCTCTACTAAAACATGCTTCCTACTTGCCTGTTTTCTTTATCATCAAAGTAATTGAAATCAGCATTGTGTTTCTTTCCTAATTTTATGAAATGAATGTCTGCGTGTACTGGTACATACATAATACGCAGGTCATAGTTTACATAGATGAATATGCATTTGTAGTGATACTGTGCACTACGTACCTTCTCCGTGTACCCACGGCGTTTGGAGGGTTGAACAAGCACTTGCACTCCCTCCTTCACGAGACTTGCTACGTGGTCGGGAGACAAGGCCGCCCGTCGTTCCCACGGGTTGTAATATTCGCGGGAAATTCCAAGGATCGCTTTGTTGCTTGGCATTGTGATCTGAAATTAATCATTAAATTCGAGTTGATTCATTTGTAATTATCATACTTCCAAGATGTCACCACTTTCACTTTCGTTTTATACTGCTGTGAAAATATGCAAACACATTTTGTCAACTGTGTTCAGTAACGGCCGACAGTTCCACTTGTTGGCTGTGCTAAACATCTTCACTTACAAATTGAAAGATAAGATCACATGTTTTGTTTGATTATTGTTGACAGATCAATAAAAAAAACTCGTTCAAGATTCATCAGATTGTACATATTCATCATTTTGAAGATTTATGACTAACATTTACCCGTTTTCTGCACCGTTTTGTTATGGAACTTATCTTTCTAACAAGGTCGATTTTAACACAAAATCGAAACAATCGGAGGAGGACAAGTATCATGATTTATACTGATACCGACACCTTGGTCCAATTTAACTCCTGAAATACAATATAATATGACAACTGTGTCAACTGCATGTAACACAATAGCACAGAATGCTGACGTATTGAAACATAACAAGACAACCATATCAGATATCTGACAGCCGTTCCATCACATATGATTGATAGCTACAAGTTAATGTCTGGTCAGTCTTGCATTATTCAGTAGCTTAAGTAACAAAGCTAATTTGTATGATTAAAACCTCGTACGGCTCTGGGTAATGTTGTGGAGCAGGTAAACCAGAGGAATTACGCATCTCCATTATTTAAAGACAATATCGGGTAATTTTTCCTTCTCCGTGGTCCTGAATATTATAGTATAATTGCCTTCGTCCACTCCTTTATAACTGCCGAGCGAGTCAAAGCAAAACGTTTGTACCTCCCCCACTCCCCTTCCTTCCCTAGCATATCTTAGACCAGTGCACTCTGACGGACATATAAAGCCTTCATATCTGACAGCCGCTCCATCACATACAATTAGGCTTCGAAATTAGCACAAGTTATTTTTACATTATTAAGTAGTATAATTTGAATAATTAAATGTGTGCCTGGATTTTCACCTGCGACACCAGTGGACCATGACGCCGTCATAAGAAGGTTTTGTCATTATTTTTGGCGTTTTTGACGACAACAAAAAACTTTCAATTTCCAGTCCTTTACTTCAGTCAAAATATACTTTATAAGTAGAAAAGCAATTAAGAAATAAATTAAAAAATCACTCGTCGGTCTATGCAGAAGATTACGTAACATTACTGAGAATAGTTCCATCAGTAGATTAGGTAAAGTCTAAAAGAGGGAGAAGTGACTTTTTACATTTACGGCGGGCAACGCGCGATTTTTTTTTTCTAACATCGGCTACGGCGTGCATGTTTTTTCGCTTTATACTGAGGCCTACGGGTGCCGACATAACCTTGAAGTCAAGTAGGATGATCTGTTGGTAAAAAAGTTATCGTAGGAAGCCAATTGCATGCAGTCTCAGTGCAGTTGCCGTGCACCCTTCGTGCGTCTTACTTGATGATCGATACGTTGCCGGTGTAGGCCCCTATCCCCGCGTAATTCAGCACCAAGGTGGTCGAAATAAGGAGACGCGTACATTTTGGCGAGTTTTAAGCATCTTCGCTATTATTTTGCCTCCTTAAGCTACCAAAGGAGGAAAGAAAAGGAGACCAAGTAAAAGCTCAGCAATATTCAAACCTGCGCAACGTCGTCCACGACATTTATAGGCCTACAGCTTACGGGATTGCGATTTAAAATTGTTGTTAAAAGTTTGACAAAACCATAAGGGCTACGAAGGTCGCGCAGCCACACGCTATCTTTCGACCACCGCCTGCCTCCGGTGCCTCTGCACAGACACCGCACGAAAAAGGATACACCGGCAGTAAACGGGCAACCCTCGGTTACCGCATGCACGGGAAAAACCTTATTTGTGAAAAAATTCTTATCTAAAATTCTTTTCTTATCTAAAATACCAATCTACATAGTCTTATTAGTTTAGAGTATTTACAAACGGAGTTTCATCTCACCTGGTTTATTATTCACTCTTCAGGTAAAGTCACATGTGTTATCGGAGACGTAGCAGGCAGTAAATTGACTGTAAAGGTCACGTGCATCCGATTTTATACGGCGCTTGTTTCTGGAAAATTCCACTGAAAAAGATCGAGATATTTGCGCAGCTAGCAAGATATCCGGGTTAATGACGACTGTATTCGACTATAAAATGAGCAATCGATGAAATGCTTTATATAATTACATAATGAGTCATTTGGGGTGAAGATCAATGCATTAACGTAAATAAAATTGATAGCTATAACATACGCTGAAAGTTTACGATTAGGAGTTTTAGATATAAAAAAGAGCGTTTGGAAGATATCAGTTTGTTTTTCCGTGTCAAGACTGAAAACAAAAAGTAGGCCTAAATGAGCGAGCACACACTCACAAACAAACACACACACACACACACACACACACACACACACACGCAGAGAGAGAGAGAGAGAGAGAGAGAGAGAGAGAGAGAGAGAGAGAGAGAGAGACGCAGTTCCGAAATAGAACCATAAGCTCCAGGTATTGGCATATTGAAAAGAACATGAAATCTAGAAGATACAATTCCAAATACGCAGTAAGAGTTTTAACTTTTTTCTTATGACAGCACCCATAGTTACAGCCTTGCGGCGACCTCGAGTGTCTGGGCATACTGTTTATCATAATTTCTTTGTATAATTTACACCTTGACCCAATTGGATAAATATTTACGCTGTGCTTTTCCACATATGTTTATACAATGAACGTCAACGGTTCATTTCACGCACGTGATCACCTATATAGCTTCTTCACATTTTTGGGTGATCAGTGACTCATTTGTTCATAAATTTAAAAAAATCGCAATTCTGGGTGCAGCTACATGTCCGATATGTACTTTTCCAATCATGTTTGTTATTGCGTCCACTACGTGGTCCACTGTGACCTCAATATTTAGGAGCGACGGGAAATTTCCGTGACGTCTACTGTTGTACGCTCCGCTTCACACACCTATTTGCTACTGCTCGGTGGGTTCCGCAATTCATCTCGACCATCATCAATTAAGGTTTTATATGTCTACTTTGACGTCCTCATTTTTCATACAAATTTGAAAAATGAAATTCCTAACATCATGGTACACAATGTAGTTAAATTAGGCCTAGTGTAAAAAATACCAATAATAGCTAGTTGTTTTTATATTTTTATTGGCACTATTCTCACCTAACTGTTTTATAAATTTATTTCACTTTATGCCTTAAATATCGCACGTGTACAATGTGAGGAATATAACATAAATTCTCATTTGTTTTGTATCAAAAGTGAAGAATATGTTGTCTCTATCTATCGGGTAGTAATCATTGGAACAGTCGTACCTGAACAAGCTCTAACAGTAGGTCGCATGCAGGGGCGTAACCAGACCTTTTAAAATTGTACGCACAGATTTTGAAAATTCCCAGGTACGATTATATTCCGTGAAAAATACATTGAATTTGTGGAGAATAATATCATGGTTGGCTCAAAAAATTGTACGCACAGTGCATCCGTGCGTATGCCTGGTTACGCCCCTGGCATGTCTTAATTATTCCAGAATGACTGTTTACAATAGCTTGAATAGACCATTATAGGGCCTACCATCTGAACAATGAATTAAGCTGCATATCTCATAAAATATTTGGAGTTACACGTGCGTAGGTCTAAAATATTGAAGAACTTTTAATTATTAGAAAAATGATTTTCTGAATTACAAGCGCGACAGATTTTCCAAAAATCTTCTGCTTGATATCGGATGTCATGAAAGATGGTCATGGCCGTGTCATGGCACCGTCATAAATCTGGTGGTTTACTGTTTTTCTTTATTTTAAGAATAGACCCATACCTGTTGTGTGACTTCGTAGAGACAGAGGATTGATTGATGGGTATACCCTGGCTGATAAACAGCGTCCAAAACCGACAAATATATGCAACAACTGTAATGTAATTCGTGCACAGCGGAGTGCAGGTGGTTTTAGTCAGTGCTCCAGAACACACAATCAAACTTTAACAAACTGACCAATGTCCATTGATGAGAAGACATGGATATTTAATATTTCCCCTACTTTTTAAAAATAACCCATTGGCATACCCGGTAGAGCAAGCACGCAGGTCTATTGAAAGTAAATGAAATGAACTACAGTCAAAAATGAAAGATAGTGTTCATTTAAGAACTATATTTTATTGATCAATATTGTAAAGTAATTAATGAATGAATTAATTGTGACATTTTTTTAAAGATATTGAAATTTAAATAATTATCGCATTTGCTAACGTGATAGCTAGATGCTAGCTAGATGTTCACTCCTCAAAATCTCAACTGTTGCAATATGCCACCACAACTCTGACTCTGAACGGTGGGTTGGGATGATGGGAGGGGGGGGGGCAAACAGCTTCTATATATTTATAAATAGTTTTATTTTTGTTGTTGTTGAAATTAGTCAACCTGTCTACAACTTTTGAAGAAAGAGATCAACCTAGCTATCTTAGCCCCGTTAACCTAATTTTCCCACAGACATTTGGATCGATCTATCTCCCTGGGGAGTCTCACTATATATAAATTGCTGTCAACTTGACCGGCTTAAAATGTCTGTCACGCCTAGTAAAGCTGCTAGGGGGTAATTATCTTTACCCCCTATCTGACTAATTGGTAGGCGTGACAGACATTTAAGCGGGTTAGTTGATAATAATTTACTGAGACTTCCCAAGGAGTTATTTATGTTTGTATGGGAACCCAGTCTAAGACCCCATTCCCAGAGTTACATCGATCCAACTAGATCGACCTAACTCCCTGGGGGTTCACGCTAAAAAGCTGTCAGCCGAGCGGGCATGAAAGTTAATTACCCCCTTACAGCTTGTAGTAGGCGGGACTGACATTTAAGCCGGATTATCTCACTAGAAATCTAGTGAGACTCCCCACGGGGATAGATCGATCTAAAATCTATGGGAATGCACCCTTTACTCCGTACTGAGTTGGTGGGTTCACAAAGTGCTAATGGGCATGCGCAGTACATTATAGGGTACTGATGTTTATGTTTGACCTCTTCATATTATGATTCATTGATATTGTGCAGCATTTTCTTGTGGATCGAGGCAATTCTGCTTTAATTGACCTTTCAAGCAGACGCAGGGGACACGTGTTATAGACCTTCTATTTCTGGTCAGTATAATTACAAAATATCTGCTGTTGTCAGCTAATTGTGCGCTATAATATAATATTAGTGTAACATTTCCAGGCTTCTGTTATAATGTCTTAAAATGAGTGCAAAATGCAGCTGGCCATATTCCAGACGCAGACTGTATACAGTATGTCTGTGGGATATTATCAGGAATGTTGCCATATCATGTGTACTGGAGAACATCAGCATCATCTTACAGTAATTGTTCAAGTTATAATGTGGAGACTTTCATATAGGGCTAATATATACCAGTATATGGTCATATATATTTAGGAAAGCAAATTATTAACACCCACCCTACACTGCAATGAACATGTAATGCTTTCCTTGTGTGTGTGTGTGTGTGTGTGTGTGTGTGTGTTTGCGTGCATGTGTGTGCATGTACTGTCCAGTACATGTAATAATCCCTTGTACTAGCTGAATAGCTGCAAAGCTATAATACAGTACATGTTTCCCTTCATCTTCTACCTGATGTGAAATAATTGTATTTTATTGTATTAAGGGGAACTGTGAATACCTACCAGATAAAATTGACATATAGCTATCTGCATGAACATAATAATATTGTCAATTTATTTGTGTTATATGTAATACTATTCATTCTTATCATTTCCAGCCAAGATGATTTATAAGTAAATGCAAAATTATTTTTTAAAAAATATAATATAATATTCCATGAATTCTTATCATTTCCAGCAGATGATTTATTAATTAATGCAAAATTATATTAAAAAATTACAATAATATACTAGTAAAAAATATATTGTTGGTGTTCAGGGAGCAGTTAATTGGTCAACAGGTCAAGATGGTGGGGGTGGTTGCAGTGAGTAGAGAGCAATACAACCCCTGGGAGAGGAGGGCAACCCTGGGGCCACGCCAGGTACGCCAGCTGGTGGAGGAAGGGGTCAAGGTCATCGTGCAACCATCAAAAAGGCGAGGATATACTGTGAAGGTGATTGTAGACATTATAGATGGTTTATGAGTGAATCTTGTTCATGTGCAGTGAGTTGACCTAACCAGCTGGCTGACACGTCCAGCAGAATTACTAGTATTACTGGTGTACTTCTTGAGAAAAAAGATGTTTCCTAAAAGCAAAAGGTTAGATATGGAATTTCGATGACCAGTATTATTTAAATTATCACTCACATTAAAATGATCCACTATTTACACACCCTATCATATTTGTCATAGATAATACATGGAACTGAATAGGGTGAAATCATTGTTAACTAGTTATTTCACATTTAATTTGAACTAAATGCATAAATGAATTTTTTTCAATACAGTATTTTTAAATTATGCTCTAAGCTGTTGTTCCATAAGTTTTTTAAAGTTAAGTAGCCTCGTGTGGGAAAGTGTATTTTTGTGAGTAACTAAAAATTTATGTCTTGCAAAAAATGTGTCATGTTAGAATATGCAGTGTGATATTTAATTTTTTTTATTTATGCCAAAGATTTTCTGTAATTCCAGGAGTACCAGGAAGCAGGTGCTACCATCCAGGAAGACATGAGTGAGGCTTCTATTATCACCAGTATCAAGGACATGAGCATAGAGTCCCTGATACCAAACAAAACCTACACCTTCTTCTCTCATACCATCAAGGCACAGCCACATAGCATGCCTTTGCTGGATGCCATACTAGAAAAGGTATAGTTGTATGTATGCAAGTACTAGTATATGCAGATGTATGTATGCACATAATGATATACAATGAAGGCAAAGACACAATGGAAAAGGTATATGTTGTCATTTGATTTTTGAAATATTGAAAGTTATTTCAAGAACATGCAAAAGAAAAATTGAATAAAAATTGGATAGACCTCAAAATCAAATTGCTATTTCAATGTCAAAGAATAACAATATTAATATAGTACAAATCTTTCTCTGCTGTTTCCAGAACATTCGTCTTGTGGACTATGAGAAGCTGACCAGTGGCCCCGGGATCTGGCCAGCGTCAGCCATGAGCAGGTTCGCGGGTATAGTGGGAGTGCTGAACATATTGCATGGTATAGGGCTGAGACTTATGGCCTTTGGCTTCAACACACCCTTTGCTGTAAGTTTCTGGCTGCCCAGTGATTACATAAAGGCTAGTTCTACGTGAAAGTTGTTAAAACTCTGGTGACTCACTGATATACCAATGTTAAGCTGGTCAAGACATGGTCCTCAGATTTCAACAATGAGTACATATTTCAACAATGAATTTGAAATTTGCCTAATTCTGGACTTGTCTTTATGGTATTTTAGTTTTTAAATTGTTCAGTGAGAGAAAGGCAAATAAATATTTTCATATTTCATTAAAATGAGAATCGAGTTTCCCTGGCGGAGGTCTTCACTCTGTTCGTGTTTTTCTAGTCATTTTTAGCCCCCATGATTGTGGCCTTTTCTCTGATTCCAGCACATTGCTATGGCCCACAACTATGTGTCCTATGAGGCAGCATGTCAAGCTGTACGTGACGTAGGCAGGCGTATTGCGGAGGGCGAGATGTGTGTGGGACCATTGACATTTGTCTTTACAGGTGCAGGAGGAGTGTCCAGGGTAAGATTTTTTTTTTTCGTGTGGAGGGGGGGGGGGGGGGGGGGGCAAGGGTGTTGACTTAAGAATGTTTTAAAATATTTAAATGGGTTGTCAATCATTCTTAGTGTAAGAGATCACTGTAAACTGAGAAATTAACTTCGAACATTTCAACTGAACAACTTGACAGGAATTTATTATCTACATTGTGGGAATCGTTACCAGTTTCATTTAAATGTAAATGGACCTTTTTATTGGAAATGAAACAGTTATATCACTGTGGACACAGATATTTTTATTTTGTAAGGTCACCCACCAAATATTGGTGCAGAATTTGTTCTGCTCTGTAGAATTTATTTCTCAAATAACATTTCTGAATTTCCAGGGTGCCCAGGAGATGTTCAAGCACCTGCCCCATGAGTTTGTAACTCCAGACAAACTGCCAGAGGTGGCACAACATGGAGGTACTTATGTGTCTGCAATGTTGAAGCTGTTTTAATATTCTTTACGAAACTGTTGTATGATCACTCATAAGCCATAGTTTTAGATCCCATGAGGGTCAGCTTCTAGCTTCATTTTCAAATTTTAAAGTGGGATAGAATTTGACTGAGCAACTTGTCTTATGTCTTATATCTTCTGGACAACCAGGTCAGTTAGGCCTTCATCAGACTGTTGTGAATACATGGTGTTACTAACTGACCACTAGGTGGTATAGCGGCCAGGATCCTTTTATAACTGTCAGGTAGATCACCCCCACCCCACCCCTAGTGACAACCAGTGTTTATTGAATTGATATTGATAAATGGTCTAAATGGGCTAAATTGCTTTCATCTTTATTTCCTTTACCAGGTTGTATTTTTATGAAGATAAATCAGCAGAACATAACTTCCTTTATATATCTTTTTTTTCTTATTTCAGCAGAATGACTGATGCATGGGAGCAGTTATTAATCATATGCACACTGTTTTCATTGAAGATCCACTGGGAGCAGTCATTATTCAAGAGGTCACAATGTGGAGAGATTTAGTTCTGCCTAATGCTGACTGTGAAAGCTTCAGATGTAATTGTGCTTTGAATTGTGCTTCAAATATGATTCTGCTTTTGTCTGGTTGGTATATGTGAGCACTAAACCGTCCTTCCATGAGTTGGGGGTTGAGCTTTACATGAATGATGTATACCATTTCTCCCTCACTGAAAAAAATTAAGGTCAAATTGAAGTCTTTTATTGTTTTATCTGATAAGTCATTGCCAAAAGGTGACTGACTTGCATATAATTTCCATATTTTTAGAGAAGACCAAACTCTATGCCACAATTGTGGACATAGCAGACGACTTGAGTAGAATCAGTGATGGAGGATTTGATGAAAAGGAATACAACCAACATCCGGAGCTTTACCAGAGCAACTTTGCCAAGAAAGTAAGTGGTAAAATTAAACAAACAGTAACCAGATAGATAAAAAAAATTAGTTAAATATTTTATACAAAAGGTGATGGCTGCTTTCCTTGCAGTTTGGTTTAAAAAGTTCTTCCGTTACAGATTGATACAGGTATCTCATTTCTGCATATTATTACTGTTTAATATGGCAACATTTAATCTATCCTCAAAAGAACATGTAAGTTAATAAATAAATTTGCCATTGATTCACAACTTTTGTAGACTTGGCAGCAATATGGATTAAAGTTTCAATTATTTTTGTCCACCAGGTGGCTCCCTATGCCTCTTGTATAGTAAATGGCGTGTACTGGCAGCCAGGACAGCCCAGACTCCTCACTGATGCAGACGCTAAGACTCTCTTGGCACATGACCCCAATGCTCCACAAGATCTGACTGACATAGGAGAGGACCCAATTCTTCCACGTCAGCTTCTAGCAATTTGTGACATCTCAGCAGACGAGGACGGATCCATACAGTGGACCAAGTACTGCACCACGGCAGACGAACCTTTCTGTATCTATAACCAAGATGGCCAGATAATCAAGAGTGGGTAAGAAAAATTGCTTCAGATGCTTGGAAGTAGATATTTTTGCTTTGTTTTTTTTTTGTTTTTATTATTTTTCTACATTAAATTTTTCCAATTTCAGTTTTTCATTTTTTCACAGCCTCCTGTTAAGTAACTTAAAATGATTTTTTTTTCTGCATTATATCAAAGCATGAACTTTGGATTTTCTCCAAGAAAAAAATTCTGTCAGTGACGGCACATACATTCCGAGGGAAAGTTAACAGATATATATGAATATTTAATATCTTCACTTCCAGCATGACAGCTGACGGAGTACTGATGTGTTCTGTTGACAACATGCCAGCTCAGTTCCCAAAAGACGCCACCGACTACTTCGGCGAACTCTATCTGCCGTATCTTAAAGAACTTGTAAGTTAAAATTTTGCAGCAGAGCACCAGTTGTTGTCAATGTCCAATCAAAATTTATTCCCATCTTTTGTGCCTACTAGGTTCATTATTATAACTTAAATATTCACATTATAATTTAAATATTAACATTAGGACAAATTTCGGAAAATCAATAGAAAGATAAATGGTAGTTTTAAAAAATTCAGTTGGTTGCTACCCTTGAAGGATAACACAACTGAAGTTTAATGTGTTCTGCTGTTCTAATACATTTCATACCATATCAAACTGCGTTGATTACTGTATATCAAGTTACATACATTTTTTCTGTAGTTGAAAACGGATGCCAACTCTACTTTTGAAGAGTATCAGAAGGCTGTTTGCCCAGCACTGGAAAATGTAAGTAATCCGTACAAGTTTGCCATACCGACATTCTTTATTTATTAATTAATTTTTTTTTGGCAAAGAAACACAATTAAGTATTTATTCAAAAAAGGTGTTATTTCACTCTTGTCTTTGTTTAACAACTCTTTTTAAGTTGTACTAAAGCAACATAAGAGAGACAGTATCTTCAATTCATAACAATCTACTATCTGTACACATTTCATTTCAGGCTGTAATAGCTACCAATGGCAAGTTAGCTCCTAAATACCAGTACATAGCAGATCTTAGGGCTAAATCAACCAGCCAGAACCACTAGACAATACCAGTGTATCCGGTCAATATTTATATAATACCAGGAGTGCATACTTTTCTTCTCCCCAGGCCACGCAATGTTTTCTATATATAAGAACGTATTCGTCTGGGATAAATGCTACATTTTATAGAACATATTCAGAAAACTTTGTAAATCAGTTGGACATTCGGACTGACAGTTATGGAAAATTTGCTAGACTGAAGGGTTATAGTGGCTTGAATAGACCATTATAGGGCCTACCATCTGAACAATGAAAGCTGCATTTCTCATAAAATATTTGGAGTTACACATGTGTAGGTCTAAAATATTGAAGAACTATTAATTATCAGAAAAAAAACGATTTTCTGAATTACAAGAGCGCGGCAGATTTTCGAAAAATCTTCTGTTTGATATCGGATGTAATGATCGACGGTCATGGCCATGTCATGACATCGGCATAAAATAAGTGGTTTACTTTTCTTTCTGTAACTTAAGAATAGACCCATACCTGTTGTGTGAGAAAGAGGATTGATTGATGGGTATACCCCGGCTGATAAATGGCATCCAAAACCGACAATATATGCGACAAATGTAATGTTATTGGACTATAGCGGGATGCAAGTCATTTTAATCAGTGCTCAAGGACATGCATTCAGACTTTAACAAACTGACCAATGCCCATTGCTGAGAAAACATGGGTATTTAATATTCTTTTTATTATTTTTTTAGAATAACCCATTGGCATACCCGGTAGACCTATATTTATATCAGCAAGCACACAGGTCTATTGAAAGCAAAGGAATTAAGTTTAGTCAAAAATGAAAGATAGTGTTCATTTAAGAACTATATAATTTGTTTATCAAATACTGTTAACTGATTAATAAATTGATTAATTATGACATTTTGTTACAGATACTGAAAATTAAATATTTATCACATTAGCATAGGCGACCACACCAAAATGTTCAATCCTCCAAATCTCAACTGTTGCAATATGCCATCACAACACCTGACTCAAGAAATCTTTAATTCTGAAGCATGAAAACATTTTATATTTTATATTATAATATTTAAAAATATTAATTTATTTTTCGGTTTTTATGGAAATTAGTCAATCTGTCTAGAACTTTTGAAGAAAGAGATCAGCCTCTGTCTTAGTCTCGTTTATCGAATTTTAATCATAAAATTATTCATTTAATAAGACTTGTTTATTAAGTTTGCACCAATAGATGTACTGAGTGAACAGGTTCACGTGGTGCCACTGGGCATGCTCAGTACATGTTCTATAGTCTTATGTTTATGTTTGACCTCTTCATATATAAATTGATGATTCCGTGATATTGTTTACATGTAGCAGCTTCTTGTGGATCGAGGTAATTCTGCTTTAATTGACCTTTCAAGCAGGCGGAGAAGACACATGTTATAGACATACTTCTATTTCTGGTCAGTATTTACAATATATTTCTACTGTTGTCAGCTAATTGTGCATAATATAATTAGTGTAACATTATTTTGGCTACTGTGATAATGCCTTAAAATGTTTGCAAAATGCAGCTGGCCATATTCCAGACGCAGACAGTACTCAGTATGTCTGCGAGATATTATCAGGAATGTTGCCATCATGTGTAGTGGAGAACATCAGCATCATCTTACAGTAATTGTACAATTAAGTTCTATTGTGGAGAATAGTCTGGATTTCATGCATGATTAATATAGATAGTATTAATTCATATATATTTAAGAAAGCAATTTATAAACATTTATATACACCCTGCTTAAAAAACAATGAACAAGTTTAAAAAGTTCTACTCTAGTAAAACTTTTTTCGCAAGATAAAGTGGCACATACATGTAGCTATCTGTACACAATGATATTGTCAGTCTTTTTGTGTTGTCTATAATACTATTAAATTCTTATTATTTCTAGCCAAGATGATGTATGAAGAAATTCAAAATAATTTTTAAAAGAATTATATTGTTGTTTTTCAGGGAGCAGTTGGTCAGCAGGTCAAGATGGCGGGGGTGGTAGCAGTGAGTAGAGAGCAATACAGCCCCTGGGAGAGTAGGGCGACACTGGGGCCATGCCAGGTACGCCAACTGGTGGAGGAAGGGGTCAAGGTCATCGTGCAACCATCAAAAAGACGGGGATATACTGTGAAGGTGAGTGTAGACATTATAGATGGTTTATGAGTGAATCTTGTTCATGTGCAGTGAGTTGACCCCACTGGCTGGCTGGCCAGCAAAATTACTAGTGTATGACTCTGAACTTGAGAAATAAGATTTTTCCTAATGGCAAAAGAGAAAATGAAATTTCAGTAACTAATATTATTATAGCACTTTAATAATTACGACTCGGATTAAAATGATCTGCTAGTAATACATCTCATCATATTTGACACAGATATACCTGGTTGTTAATGGGGTAAATTTGATTACTAGTAATTACACATTTAATTTGAACTAAATGAATTGATATTTTTTAAATAAGATATTTTGAATAATTATTATTTTTTTATTGAATTATTATTTTTTATTTGAAATTGTTGCTCTAAAGTGTTAAAAAGTCTGGTAGCCTCGATCTTGTGGGACAGTGGATTCTATGAGTACCTTAAAAATTAATGTTTTTGAAAAAAAAAGTGTCATGTTAGAATATGAAGTGTTATGTATGAAATATTAGAGTAATGTAATTCCAGGAGTACCAGGAGGCAGGTGCTACCATCCAGGAAGACATGAGTGAGGCTTCTATTATCACAGGTATCAAGGAAATGAGCATTAAGTCCCTGATACCAAACAAAACCTACACCTTCTACTCCCATGCCACCAAGGCACAGCCACATAGCATGCCTTTGCTGGATGCCATACTAGAAAAGGTATAGTTGTACAGTGATCCCCCCCAAAAAAAATGCCAGACAGCCGAACATGTCCGCCATGAAATTTAAATGTCCGATGGGTAATGTCAGCATGGCGGTCACAATATCTGTGCTATTGGATAACAAAGCATTTAAAATACTAAGTCCTGGCCCATGTGCCACTGCTTTTTGCCACTGTATGAAGTGCTCCAGCGTGAAAAAGTATGACATGCATTGATACTAGTCTTGCTCCAACAAGCATTTTCTAGCCTCCTTATGAAATTCTGGAGGCTCCTTAAGAAATAGGTGATCCGAATGGCCAGAGAGCTGAAAAGCAGACTATGACATGCTGAAGAATGAAACCAGTATTTCACAGTGTACCTGATTAAGGCACTCTTTTGTGCTGCTGTTGTTTTTGGACTTGTCTTTATAATTAAAACACGAAAAATAATATAATTTTCAAATGTCTGACATGATCAAAAATGTCTGACATCCAGATATTTTATGGCGTACATAATGTCAGACAGGTGTCCAAAGTTTTTTGGGAACACTGTTGTTTGTATGCTGGTATGTATGTAATACTATGTAAACACATGCTGGTATGTATGTAATACTATGTAAACACATGCTGGTATGTATGTAATACTATGTAAACACATGCTGGTATGTATGTAATACTATGTAAACACATGCTGGTATGTATGTAATACTATGTAAACACATGCTGGTATGTATGTAATACTATGTAAACACATGCTGGTATGTATGTAATACTATGTAAACACATGCTGGTATGTATGTAATACTATGTAAACACATGCTGGTATGTATGTAATACTATGTAAACACATGCTGGTATGTATGTAATACTATGTAAACACATGCTGGTATGTATGTAATACTATGTAAACACATGCTGGTATGTATGTAATACTATGTAAACACATGCTGGTATGTATGTAATACTATGTAAACACATGCTGGTATGTATGTAATACTATGTAAACACATGCTGGTATGTATGTAATACTATGTAAACACATGCTGGTATGTATGTAATACTATGTAAACACATGCTGGTATGTATGTAATACTATGTAAACACATGCTGGTATGTATGTAATACTATGTAAACACATGCTGGTATGTATGTAATACTATGTAAACACATGCTGGTATGTATGTAATACTATGTAAACACATGCTGGTATGTATGTAATACTATGTAAACACATGCTGGTATGTATGTAATACTATGTAAACACATGCTGGTATGTATGTAATACTATGTAAACACATGCTGGTATGTATGTAATACTATGTAAACACATGCTGGTATGTATGTAATACTATGTAAACACATGCTGGTATGTATGTAATACTATGTAAACACATGCTGGTATGTATGTAATACTATGTAAACACATGCTGGTATGTATGTAATACTGTGTAAACACATGCTGGTATGTATGTAATACTATGTAAACACATGCTGGTATGTATGTAATACTATGTAAACACATGCTGGTATGTATGTAATATTGTGTAAACATGTTGGTATACAATAATGACATAGCCCCCTAGCATGCCTTTATTGGATGCCATACTAAAAAAGGTGTTTTACTAGTTGTACATATGCAGGTAGGTACTTGTTTGCACATAAACAATTCTGACACAACCACATTTTGGGACAGTATGCCTTTACTGGATGCTGTTCTAGAAAAGGTGAAGTATTTGAGCTCTGAAATATTGAAAGCTGTTTCAAGCATGTGCAAATTAAAAAAAAAGTAAAATAGATCAACATAACAGTTATAGAAAAAGATCTAAAAATAAAAATAATTTTCCTAATATCAAAGGACTACATTTTCAGTACAGATGTTTCTCTTATGTTTACAGAACATCCGTCTGGTGGACTACGTGAAGCTGAAAAGTGGCCCCGGGGTCTGGCCAGCATCTGCCATGAGCAGGTTCGCAGGTATAGTAGGGGTCCTGAACATACTGCATGGTATAGGCCTGAGACTAATGGCATTCGGCTTCAACACACCCTTTGCTGTAAGTATAAGCATATGTGGCAGCTAGCCCAATGAATCTCAAAAACTAGTTCTTCGTGGAAGTTGTTAAACCTCTGGTGGCTCACTCATATACCATTGTTAAGTTGGTCAAGACAAAGTTGTCAAATTACAAAGTACAAATTTCAACAATGAGTCATTTGAAAATTGTCAAATTTCTGACTTGTCCTTATGTAATGTTTGTCTTTAAATTGGTCAATGAGAGATAGGCAAATAAATAATGAGAATTGAGCTTCCTTGGTGGAGGTCTTCAATCTATCAGTGCTTTTCTAGTTTTTTTTTTTTTTTTTTTTGATGACTGTGGCCTTGTCTATGGTTCCAGCACGTTGCTATGGCTCACAACTATGTGTCCTATGAGGCAGCATGTCAAGCTGTACATGACATAGGCAGGCGTATCGCGGAGGGTGAGTTGTGTGTGGGACCACTGACTTTTGTCTTCACAGGTGTAGGAGGAGTATCCAGGGTAAGAATTTTTTTCTTTTTTTTGTGGAGGGGATGGGGGAGGCAGGTGTTGACTTAAGAATGTTTTAAAATTTTTTAATGTGTTGTCATTCTGGTATTCATAGGTCACTGTTAACTGAGAAATTAACTATGAACATTTAGACTGAACATTTTATCAGGAATGTATGTCCTACATTGTAGAAATTGTTCCCAGTTTCATCAAAATGTAAATGGACCTTTTTATTAGAGGTTACACTGTTAAACAAAGGTATCACTGTGGAAGCAAGCTCCTTTCTATTGTATGCCACCCTTCAAATAATAGAGTGCTATTGTTCTGATCTGGAGAATCTATTATTAACACCACTTCAATCTATTATCCCAGGGTGCCCAGGAGATGTTCAAGCACCTGCCTCATGAGTTTGTATCTCCAGACAAACTGCCAGAGGTGGCAAGGAATGGAGGTATGTGTCTGGAATAATGAAGCTGTTTTAATATTCTTTGTGTAACTGTCGTATGATCACTCTAAGCCATAGTTTTAGATCCCATGTGGGTCAGCTTCTTCATTTTCAAATTTTAAAGTGGGATAGAACTTGACTGAGCAACTTTGAAAGTAAGCAATAATGTTCATTAGCTTGGTAGTTGGATCATATGTGATAATTATAAAAGGCAAGCTGAAAAGTTTTCATACTGTTAACTTACATGTACAGGAAATCTGGACGTAAGCCTTCATCCGGCTGCTGTGAGTAGATGTTGTTACTCACTGACCGCTAGGTGATAAAAGCAGCTAGGACTCTTTTGTAAATGTCAAGTAGATCGACCCCACCCCCAACCTCCCTGTCCCTGTTCATGGGTAACTGGTGACAGCTGATGTTGATGTTGATGTTGATGTAAGTGGTATTGATAAATGGAAATGGGTTAAATAACTTTCACCTTTATTTCCTTTACCAGGTCATATTTTTTATGAAGATCAATCAGTAAAACATAACTTTTTTTTTCTTATTTCAGCAGAATCACTGATGCATGGGAGAAGTTATTAATCATATGCACACAATGTTTTCATTGAAGATCCACTGGGAGCAGTCATTTTTCAAGAGGTCACAATGTGAAGAGATTTTGTTCTGCCTAATGCTGACTGTGACAGCATCAAATGTAATTGTGCTTTGCACCGTGCTTTAAATATGATCTGCTTTTGTCTGGTTGGAATATGTGAGCAATGAACTGTCTTTCCCCGAGTTGGGGGTTGAGCTTTACACGAATGATGTATACCATTGCTCCCTCACTAAAAAAAATTAAGTGAAATTGAAGTCTTTTATTGTTTTGTCTGATGAGTCATTGTTGAAAGGTGACTAAGTTAAATATAATTTCCACATTTTTAGAGAAGACCAAACTCTATGCCACAATTGTGGATAAAGCAGACAACCTGAGTAGAATCAGTGATGGAGGATTTGATAGAGAGGAATATAACCAACATCCGGAGCTTTACCAGAGCAACTTTGCCAAGAAAGTGAGTGGTAAAACCAAAACAAACAATGATCAAGTAGATAATGAATAAGTCAAATAATTTTAAAATACATGAGGTGATGGCTTCTTTCTTTGCAGTTTGGTTAAAAAAAGTTCTTCTGTAATATGGATTAAAGTTTTGATTGTTTTGTCCACCAGGTGGCTCCCTATGCCTCCTGTATAGTGAATGGTGTGTACTGGCAGCCAGGACAGCCCAGACTCCTCACTGATGCAGACACAAAGACCCTCTTGGCACGTGACCCAAATGCCCCACAAGATCTGACTGACATAGGAGAGGACCCAATTCTTCCACGTCAGCTTCTAGCAATATGTGACATCACATCAGAAAAGGAAGGATCCATACAGTGGACCAAGTACTGCACCACGGCAGATGAACCTTTCTGTATTTATAACCAAGATGGCCAGATAATCAAGAGTGGGTAAGAAAAAATTTTCAAGATGCTTGGAAGTAGAGATTCTGTTTTTTATTTTCTAATTTATCTACATTTTTGTTATTCAATTTCAAGATGATTGACCAATTTTTCATGGCCTCCTGTTTACCCACTGAAATTTTGCTTCCTGCATTTTAGCAAGTCATGAACTTTGGATTTTCTCAGAGAAAAAATTCCACCAGTTAGGGCACCTACAGTCTGAGAGAAAGTTGACAGAAATATATGAATATTTTGATATCTTTACTTCCAGCATGACAGCTGATGGCGTCTTGATGTGTTCTGTTAACAACATGCCAGCTCAGTTCCCAAGAGACGCCACCGACTACTTCGGCGAACTCTATCTGCCATATCTTAAAGAACTTGTAAGTTATAATTTTAGGAGCAGTGCACCAGTTCTTGTAATTATCCAACCAAAATTTACTGTAGTCATTTGTGTGTGCTCTTTTCATTATTATAACTTAAATGTTCATCTCAGGACAAATTTTGGAAAATTCAACATGTACGTGAAGAGCAATGGTAAAGGTTTTTAAAAATTTGCCTGGTTCCCTTGAACAATGACTCAACTGAGATATAACGTGTTTTATTTCAGCTGTTCTAATGTATTTCATAGCATATCATACTGCACTGATTTACTGCATATTAACTTATATATGTATTATCTGTAGTTGAAAACGGATGCCAACTATACTTTTGAAGAGTATCAGAAGGCTGTTTGCCCAGCATTGGAAAATGTAAGTTACCCTTAAAAGTTTTTCATATCGACATTTTTTTTTTTTGGGCAAAGAAACACAAGTATTTGTTCAAAGCAGATGACATTTCGCTCTTGTCTTGGCTTGCACTGAATGTGTCCAACAACTTTTTTATGTTGTACTAAAGCATTATAAGAGAGACATTACCTTTAATTCATTACAATCTAATATCTGTATATATTTCATTTTTAGGCTGTGATAGCTACCAATGGCAAGTTAGCTCCTAAATACCAGTACATAGCAGATCTTAGGGCTAAATCAACCAGCCAGAACCAGTAGACAATACCAGTGTATCCAGTCAATATTTATATATACCAGGAGTGCGTACTTTTCTTCTTCCCAGGCCACGCAATGTTTTCTTTATATTAGAATGTATCTGTCTGGGATAAATGCTACATTTTATAGCACATACTTAGAAAACTTTGTAAACCAGTTGGACATTCGGACTGACAGTTATGGTAAATTTGCTAGACTGAAGGGTTATTTATGGAACGCCATCCACGCAAAAAATCAGACTTGCAATTTAATAGCCAAATGACATTCTAACAGCCTACAAGAAATCTAACAGTGGTCAAAATAATCTAATAGCCAACTCATAAAATTTAACAGTGTTAAAAAATTTAATAGCCAACTCATAAAATTTAACAGCGTTAAAAAATCTAACAGCCAACTCATAATCTTACAGCCAACTTTTCAAAACAGCCAAGTCAGCATCTAACGCTAGAGGTCACTGCTGTCACTGGTCTATCCGTGGACGGCGCGTAAAGCGATGACGTCATTTCAATATGAATGTAACTCCCAGTGCTTGTAATATATTCTCTTTGCTGTATATGAACATGTAACATAAACTCCTGAGTACACATATGTTTGTCCTAATTGAATTTTTTATTTGGTTTTGATATAATCTGGAATGAATTTAGCGTGAAAATGTAAAAGCAAATTAAGCCTCAGTACATGAATACATAGAATTATTTCCCCATTGTTTTGGTCCCTTTACCATATATATATATTTTTTTTTTGATAAAAATCTTTTCAACAAAGCGTTTGTTTGATCTTGTTCTATATATTAAATTATTTATTAATATATGTTTCTAATAGAATCATTTTAATTAGAACGTTCACTGTCATCCCATCGGTGATTAATTGTAATGCGATGAACGTTGGACTTGTATTACCATCGTAGTAAAACGTGAGACTAGTGACCCAGATTGTGCATTGGGTGAAATTAGGTCACAGTTTTGATTCATGCATATGCAGATTACGTCCAGTTGCGTCCTATGATAGGACAATGCGTCCTAGGCACCACCATGTTTTACCCTACGCGATGTAACCTTGCATTACTAAGTGCGGGTGTTTGAAACTGAACACCATTTTCTTGTGCATCTTTCGGGAAGGAACTCCAGGGATTCCGGTGGCAAAATACTCGTTTATATTAGTTCTGATTCGACCTTCCATCTACGTAATATGGATATTAAACAACATCTCTAAGGCTCCAGATGACGTCATCACTTTACGCCCCGTCCACGGATAGACCCGTGACAGCAGTGACCTCTAGCGTTAGATGCTGACTTGGCTGTTTTGAAAAGTTGGCTGTAAGATTATGAGTTGGCTGTTAGATTTTTTAACGCTGTTAAATTTTATGAGTTGGCTATTAGATTTTTTAACACCGTTAAATTTTATGAGTTGGCTATTAGATTATTTTGACCACTGTTAGATATCTTGTAGGCTGTTAGAATGTCATTTGGCTATTAAATTGCAAGTCTGATTTTTTGCGTGGATGGCGTTCCATAGTTATTTGCCATGTTGAATATTGCTCATTAAGTGAGTATCATGGCAACTGTTAATCCAGTATTGCTGCTCTAAAATTGTCAGTGGTCCTTTTGATCAACTGAACACAATTTATCCATCGTTCCTTGACTTGAAAATTTTATCAGTCATGACCAGCAGGGCAGACAGTTTCAGCAAGTCTGGTAAGATTCTCCATTTTGATCAGCTTAGCTGGCAAAGATCCCAACTGATGACTTAGCTCTCCACAAAGGATGCTGCTGTCCAGGGCTTTTAAGTGCTTAGATCACCAATCCTTCTGTAGGACATCTGTGTCTAGAGTCATGGTGTTTAGATAACAAGGTCCTAAACTGATCTCAAAGCTTTCTTAAGGACATCAGGATCCAGTGTCTTAGTGTTTAGATAACAAGGACCTGAGATGAGCACTGGACTCTGCTCCTTCATGCTGCTCTCTTTGGGAAACCACTGGAAAAGAAATGAATATCATTTTGGGATTGGTTTGCTATAACATGGATAATTTAATCAGAATTTTATAAACTTTTTATATTCCACTTTTAGGAGTATATCTTTGGTTTGATATCTAGCAGGTTGGATAATTTTTAATCATATAAAACTGCTGCCATATCAAAGTCAAGGCATTTACTCAGAAAATAAATAAATAATAGTGCTAATAACAGATTCATTTTTGGTGCTATACAGTATCAAACAATATTCTGAAGTAAAAATCTATTTGTATTAGAACAAATGGAAGTGCAATGATTGGACATATATGGGCAAAATTCCAAGCATCACCCTTGACTTGGAATACATGCTTGTGGAAAAGCCAATACAGACATTTTAAAAGTATTGAAGCATATGGATGCATTATGGGAAGTGTTGTGTTAAACTTACACTGTCTGAACATGGGGGATTTCTTGAGAGCTTCAAAGCTTATAGATGCATCGTTTTCACTGGGCACAGTCAGCTCCCCAGACTCTGGCAGCATCTTGCACAGTTCAAATTTTACCCAATGGTAACTGATGCATTTCTTCACCCCGGGACAGTTCTGGATAAGGTTCTGAATGGTGGGATGGGAAAATCCAAAGAAATCTGGTCCTTTGCCTTTGGCTTCCACCAAGTCTACCCCGCTGTGAAAAAATAAATTTATATAGCATGCAACAGTTCATTTTGACTTTTTAAATCACATTTTTAAATGTCTGTTGAAGAATAAAATATGAATGGTTAAAGAGTAGCAAATGTGTTCACAGAGCAATATTTATCACTGAGTCCATAACTCCTTTTGCAACATACTAACATCCTTGTTAATCCTGTAAAGGATAACTGGATTACACTTACACACCTTTGTACTCTCACATTTCCTCCATTCTTTCTTTCAATCCTACATTCTTGCCCCTCTCTCTCCCTCTCTCTCTCTCTCTCTCTCTCTGAGTACCCACCTTATCCTCCGTATTCTCTCCAGTAACATTCTGTGACACTCAGAGGCAGAGTCAGAGGCAAACACAACAGAGGGGTTGTCATCAGGACAGATCTCAAACTGGCAAAAGAAGAGCACTTGCTGAACTTCATTTACTAGGCAGAGTCATTCAACTGACTTAATGACATTTTAAAATATCAAATTATAAATAACTCTCCAGGCAACATTAAGGTGCATTTCATTTATATTTATATTTAGCAAACAAGTCTACATGAACAATACCACATAATTAAAGGATTTATTTTATAAGGTAGCATTTGAACTAAACCATTCTAAATTACCTAAACACTGCCATAATTTACAAGAATATTTAGACTTGCACTAAATTTAACATTTTAAGTTTTTAAAACAAAATTATATAATCATCAAAGATATAAAAACACCTTTGGTTTGGGTCCATTGTCTGTAATTTTGCATGTGTATATACATTGTTTTAGAGGATCATCCAGGCTGGCATAGAGTCTGGTGGTACAGAACCCCACTGGGTATATGTAATCATTGGAGTGATAACCTGCTCTATCACAGACAACCTGGAATATAAATATAACTTATTTTATATACTGTCTAGTGGTACAGAACCCCACTGGGTAGATGTAGTCATTGGAGTGATACCCTGCTCTATCACAGACAACCTGGAATATAAATATAAATATAACTTATTTTATATACAGTCTGGTGGTACAGAACCCCACTGGGTAGATGTAATCATTGGAGTGATACCCTGCTCTTTCACAGACAACCTGGAATATAAATGTTACTTGTTTTATGTACTGTCTGTTGAAAATAATTCTGGGAACAATTATTCTGTGGAATGGTAGCTAGCTCTCTCTGAGAAACCCTGTACTGTAAAACAATCTTAAAATATTTTCATTTGTGCACTTGTCCTCATTAACTAAAAATAAAGATTGAAGGCTAGTATAGTATCACATATTTGTCTCTTATGCTTACTATTATAAAACACTCACTTCTCCTATGCTGTATACAGTCAATGTGCCTAGTTCTATGGGGAATATAGGTCTACCACTGGAGTCTGAGGGGATGGGCTGTATAAGTTTGGGAGCTGGTGGCTTGGGTTTCTTACTCTTTCCCTTTGTGACCTCTGAAACGAACATAAAATAAAGTTAACTAATCTGACCCTGATCCAAAGTTCACTTGACCCATCCTTCATAAGTTTCTTCTTAATATTTATATCTACCTCCTGTGACAGAACAGACCATGGCAATATATTTGACAAATAAGGTAAACTTTTCCTTTTGATACCGTATAACTCCAGTTTGTTAACGACTGAAACTTATATGAACATCACCTAAAGACTGGTATCTCAGAATAAATTGTCTGATCAGATTTAAGGTCCTAAGGTATCCCTGTTATGTAGAGTCTACTATGTGTGCACCCCACCTGTAGAATTCACTTCCTTCTTCTTCACTTCTTTCTTGACCTTGACCTTGGGTGTATCACTACCCAGCATGCCCTGGGGTGTTACTGAAGAGGGTCCACTGTTGAAGATGGGGCTAATACTGGGGGGCTTGGCACGTGAGTGTCCTCCTCCAACTCTTGATGTCGCATCTGATAATGTCTGATACTGGAACAGCTTCTTCAGGAGAAACCTAGCAGAAGAATTATACAGCCTTTCAAATGTGAACAGTTTTCTTTAGTCTAAGATGGATGACACAAACCAGGGCATAAGTAAGCCCAACACCAATGCTATACTTGGAAGACGCTTCCAGCATCATATATAAAATTGTCATCCTAACCCAGGGCTTGACTAGATAGCTAGATACAATTATGAATGTGTATATCTGTCAAATGTTAAACAAACTTATACTTACTACTTAACAGTGATTGTAACAAGTCTTGTAAATTGAAGAATTTTAAACAATTTCAAAGTTGAGCATTACTTGCCCTGTCCACCTTACCTTCTCTCTTCTCTGGACCTGATGACCCTTTCCTCTGCCTTGACCACTTCATCACACAGAGCTGCATTCAACTGAAATAGCATCATATGTATATACATGATAATATACTGAAATTATACTTGAAATGCTCCTGCCCTGTACATCGCATGAGACACCACTAACCAAAAGTAAATGAAATTGAAAAGAAGTTATTGAAAATGGCATACAATGCACTATGTATCTGTTCAAGAGTAATGCAATGCAAACATTCAAAATATAAACCTTATATCACATATAGTTTATATTAGAATGTACACAGTCTCAGTTAAGAAATAATCGAGCCGTCTGATTCTGATCAGTTATAATTTTAGTAATCGAATTAAAGAAATGATCCAAATAATATCATGATTTAAACAACTCGATAGTAGCTCAGGACCATCATAGTGTAGTGTATTGGCAAATAAATTGAGTTTCTAAGCATTTTCTGAATATAAAATATAAAGGGCTCTTTCTACTTTCAATAATTGATAATAATAATAATTATAAAATAATCCTTACAAACATCACTTGTTTCACAACTTTTCTCAGTCTCTTGTACTTCAGTTTATACTTGGCATTGGTCTCAGGGCTGTACTGTGGTACATGATTTGTAGACATGGGGGAAGCCAGGGGCTGTGGTGCGGCAAGTAAAGGACTCACTTGTTGTTCTGCTGGGGTCTGCTTAGGCCTGAAATGATATTAAAGAAAAAAGTAAACTGTTTCAAGCATGCAAGGTAGAAAGGACCTGGGGGTAGTGGAAGCAGAGGATTGGAGAAGGTATTCTTTCTGGTGGACCTTCGTTCATCAAAAATTAACTACTGCTAAAATATAATATCTTTTAAATGGATATAAATAACAATACAAAACAAATAAGGAAAATCAAACATTCCCCTCTGTGACTTTGACATAAATTATGAACAAAAATTAGTTTAATAATAATGGTAATAATATTTAAATCTAGATGTTGTCTAAATACACTGTCAAAGATGCTCCGTATACTTTTTAAAAATCATTTTTGTAATGTCAGCCATACACCTACTGTTGCTGTTGTTGTGGATCACCCATTGGTAAATACTGCTGCATTGCCACAGCTGGGTTAACTGCATTGGCACCAGACAGCTGCTGTTGTTGATGCATTGTTTTCAATCTAAATGATGTAAAAAAGCGATGTTTTAAAATAACAGCCGAGGCTATGATTGCGAGTATCTTCTGGAAGACTAACAAAGCCTCACACTCAAAGCAAAGGGACTAGAGACGAGTAAAGAAGCAAGGGATATTTTCCTCAAGGTACATAGATTCTACACTCGGAAATAATGGAATTAAATTATTTAAGACACCAATGAACCACTGACTTATGATTATGCACATTACGGAAGTGTAGCATTGTTTAAACCATGTGCATTTCAACAGCAAAATAGACTGAAATACATTACCAGATTCTGTATAGTTCACCTTCACCTTGAAAAGCACCAACCAATGCTGCAAAACTAGGTCAGCATACTTCATCATGACACATTAAATTAAACCATCTTATTGTGTTACGTGTTTGCTTATAATGATTGTAATTAAAGTTTGTTAATTGACAATTGGTATATAACGGAATAAAATCCACATCAATACAGATGTGAGTGTTTTTTGTTGTCGTAAAACGTAAGTACTAATTTACGATATACCGTATCGCGGTCGGTTTGAAAATATACAAAATGTTGCAGCGGAATGTAAACAGTAACATGAAAGGTTTAAAATTACACGATTCCAATCAATTTGGACAACGATCGAAAGAAATACGGGCAGTTGGAGCGTGGGTTCAACCAGAGACAGCATATTATGGACATCACTCTGAAGCCGTGGTAATTATTTTAATTGATAGATACTAGTAATTCAGTGCATGATGTAGCCTTCATGCATAACTTCATGCATAATAATTAACATGAAAGCCTGCAAGCTCACCTTGGCCCTACTGACAAACTGTTGTCTCAGTGTAATGTCTTACTTACCCATTGTATGTAGGGGGTAGAATAAGGTTTTACATTGGGGCAAACGCTTCCTCCCCTTGTCCTGTATCTCCTTGTGTCATATTGAATGACTTATGTGTACAAAAATATTTAATTTTAAACACGTGTTCCATTGCTGGGTCCACTCTCACCCTTTACCCCACCCGAAATTGGTACTGTTGATTTAAATGATTTATTAATAATATTGTGTCTCAACAGGTTTCTGCAGAGGTCGAACAACACAGGATGGAGAGGAAACTTCGAGAAAAGGAAGAAAGACTACGCAGGTTCCAGAGTGATGTCCGTAACAGAGTACGGACTCTGAACAAATTGAAAAGACAACAACAGTTGGAGAAATCATCAGTGGCTGTAATGATTGAAATTTCTCTTCAATTTTTAAATTTTATATTATTTTATTTTATTTTAATTATTTTAATTATTTTTAATAATTTATTTATTTCTTTGCTTAGAGATAAAAGAGTTAGTTTTGGAAACCTAAGTAGTCTATTTGCAGAACATTTCACAAAATCATAGTTCTGAAATTTATTACCCAATTATTTAAATAGCAGTAAATATTATTAAATCAAAGGTGAATTGCTTTTTTAGAACCAGAGCTTGACCAGTAACTAATATACACCATACAATATCAATATTTCTACTGTAACAGTACTAGTACTACTACTGTACTTCCTTGTTACAGGTGGAGCTGGAGAGTGACATTGTTAAACAGAGCACATTTGCAGCAGAGCGTCACACACCCAGAAAAGACAGGTGTTCTGTGAGAGATGAGGGACACCTGAGGATTAACATGAAGCCAGCACTGTCCACACAAGGTGAGGAAAATGGAAGTGACTGTATTATTTGGATACACTTATTGTAGTAGTATTTTTGATTCCTGTTTTAAATCACTTAAGTCGAGATGATATATAACACCAAGAGTGCTTTACCAAACAAGGGTATTGTGGCAATTTAAGAATAAAACAATGCCAAGTGACATAAAAAAATAAACTTTTAGGTGTTCATTATACCTCAATATAGATCAACTTCAAAGTGCATTTATAGACTGATTGTGAACATTTTGGTTGAATATTGTGAGTACAACCTACACTTGATAACCGATAACATGCATCTTACACTGCATACCTGTACAGGTGGAGTGATCAGGACCCCAGGGGCGGGAGGAGATGCTTTTGAAGAGCAGCTCCACCAGGTCCACAAGTACAACAGACAGGCCAGGAGACAGCTCTGCTCTAGGAAGGTGATCACGGAGCAGTTTGTACCCGATGACCTCCCTGGAGGAGTGTGGAAGGTGTCCTCTACTCTGGATGTAAGTTAGGGCTAATGTGAGGCCTGTTTACATTGGAGATGGGTCTACCTTTGTGGGGTTTAGATATAAGTTACTAGATCAAGCTTATGGCGCATTTACATTGCCATTGGAGATTGTGGATCGCTCTTTCTCTGGATTCTGCCTGAATAAGCTGTAGGCAGATTTTGTATCTAATAGAAATATAGGTCAATGTAAGACACACATCTGTCTATAGATCATGAACTCCAAAGTAAAGTGCAAAGTGATTGTAATATTTTTTTGTAAATCTAACCTAAGTGGCTTTATTACAAATAATTAATGCCAGTCCATCAGGGGATGTATCTGTTGGATAATATTTTATATATAAAAGCATTATTTTTATTGTTATTTTCACATATATTGTAGCACCCAGCCACAAGAAGTACTATACCACCTGAAGTATTTGACATAGAGGAAGACGAGGATGAGTTTGTGGAGTATGGGGAAATACCAGAGCCAGATAGAGGTATATAATAAAATGAGTAAAAAACATAATTACCCTTATTTATATAACATATTTATCAGTAGCTTTATGGTAGTCACTGGTTGTTGAAGTGTCATGTGTTAAGAGAATTACAAACAGACTCATCACTTACAGAGGTTTACAAAATGTTGAAATTTTTGGGAGTTTTATGATATTTTAAATGACCTTGGACACTAATGTATCAAAATTTCTTCAATTCCGAATAAAAGTACCCCCATAAAATTATTTGGCTGACAGCCGTTGGTTCGTACAAAAAAATAACAGCTTTTATTCTAAACTATCCATCCACACATTAAATTCTATGTATTCTCCATTTAGCGCTGTCCCCAGACCCCCTGCGTGGTAAGCTGGTACGCTTTGATCTTCAACAGCCAACAGAAGAAACTAGGAAAGACAGAATAGGTAGAAAAAGTGGTAAGTAGTGTAGTGAAGTTGAAAAAGTTTTGACGGTCAATTATTTGGGATATAGACATGGTGTATATATCCAGAAGACTTGAAACATTTAATGCTGTCACATTAACTGGACACTGGCATATAAAAAAACAGAATCTGGAAGGCTTGGGTCTTTCTACCAACAAAGAATGGTTTACAAAAATGTTATAGACTTTGCACACAACAGACAGAAATAGCTGGATCAAATTAGAATGTTATAAGCAAGGTCTACAGTGTGGGCATGTGCCTGCATGTGTTCTTGTGTGACAAAATTTATCAAGTGCATCTTTATCAAGCACAGACATTCTAAATTATATCTAGCCAGCAATATTTATATCCTGTTCCAGTAACACAGATCTCAGGCAGCGACATCCACAGAAATGTCCCCAATATTTACCCCGGGGTTTTGTCCGAGGAGGACAAGAAGAGAGCAGTGACACAGAGAGCCATGTACAGGAGGCTCTTCATGGACATAGAGAGGGAGCAAGTGAAGGAAAATCTCAGGAGGAAAGAACACAGGGTTAAAATAGCAAAGTAGGGGAACATGCCGTCTGTCTACTGATCCATTTTATTATAACAATACTGTATTGAGCATCACTTGTAAATGTGTTTAAATTTGTAGGCTCTGTAAACTAGTGATCTTATTTTCTTTAATGCCTGTTAATTTCTTTACTTGCTGGTGCATTGTTTGGTTTTGAGATGTTCTCATCATCTTTATCTCAAAACTTTCATACATATCTACTAGGGAAAACATTGCCAAACTTTGAAATATTTTAATTATCAACTCTCTCATTTGATAAGACTAACTTCAGTTAACAAGTATGATTAAGAAAACTTTCTATGATAGAGACATTTGTGGGATGTGACACGTCACCTCACCGACTATGTAATATTTTGTCTTGTACCATTGATTCAGATCTCAAGTTTATTATATCTTATAGGTTAAAGAAAGAGAAAGAAGAAAGTCGACGAAGAGAGGAGAATAGGTCTTACTACCTCATAGAGCCCAAAGATCCAGTCACAGGTACATACTATACAAGTTCAAACGTGTTCTTATGTAATAGAGCCTGAGAATCCAGTAACAAGAAGGGATTATACAAATACATGACATTGCATGTTGTAGAGTTTAAAATTGCAGTTAATGGTTCATGTTTTTGTGCAGTACTTTACACAAATTTCCCTTTAAGAATAAGTTTTAGGTGAGAAATATTAAAACTGACTGTATTTGCAGGTGAGACACAAGAGGAAGCCTTCAGGAGAGAGGTGGAGATGGAGAGACAAGCCCAGGAAGCACTGGAACACATCAGCAGACACAAACAGAAACAGAGAGAAATGAACAGGTGATGGTTTTATTATAGATAAATATATAAATAATTTAAAAATGCATTGCTAGAAAACTCATCACAGACACCATATACTTTTGGGTAATTTGTTTAATTATTGCCTATAAAATAAATAAATATCCTCTTTGTGTCTTTCTTGAATGTCAAATTTATATTATTTTGAACAGAGAATTATTGTATTTATCAGAATTTTATTATTTTAAAAAGAATTTTAAAAAATTCCTCCAGAATCAGAGAGCATGTTACATTTATCATGACTCAAAGCATAGAAACTCATATTTAATTAGGGGATTGAGAGATTAAATAATTATCTTGATTCTGTAAATGTTTTCAGATACCTGGAAGCATTGAAACGCAGTATAAAGGAGAAGATAGAGAGGCGTGGCATTGTTCTCCCTCCACTGTGTTGCTGTGGAGAGACTGTGTGGGACACTCACCCAGACACCTGTGCTAACAACTGTGTGTTCTACAAAAACCCAAAAGGTAGGAGAAACCTTTGATTGTAGTGTTCATACGTTCATTTGAATGTGCTTACAACTGTCTCTTATGCAAAGAATGGGGATTCTTAAAACAAGACAAAAAATGCTTACAGCTTTATATAAAAGTAAATTATGTTTTCAAATCTGTTGTTAGTAATAACCAAAGAGAAGTGCTTATGACAATTACAGACACAGTTTATATAAAAACTTACAGGAATATATGCAGGGGATGTCATCTTCTGGGATGAATTTTTTTCTTTGATATAAGCTAGAACTGATATGTAAATTGCCTTGAATCTGAATGTAACTCCAACAAAATTTCCCAGCCCTAGAGTGTTAAAATAACACTTAACAGAGTCTAGCATATGTGATAAGGGTTGTGTGTTAAATTTAATTCAATTTAATTAAGTTCTATAATAGGAGAAAGTGTCACATAATTTGATGTTTATGTCTCTTCTTCTGTTCACAGCATATGCCAAGGCGTTGCAGTCGCTCCTGGTGTCATGTGACGTGGTATTATAACAGCAGCCAATCAGTGAAGGTCTTTGTGGTGATACCAAGAGATAACAGTCTGTGCCTAAGACTTTGAAGCCTATTAGCCTGTAGGACATCAGGATCAGGGTATAGAAATCCACTGACTCAAACCAGAAGCAGAACCAGTGGCCAGAAACTGCACAAATCTACTGAGTTTGACTGACTCAGCTGCAGTTTTACACGCATATGGCCTGGGGGCTGTAGGTTAATGTTGCATGCTGAAATGGCAGTCTTCAATGAGCAAATCTGACTTGTTTCTGCTTATGAATTTAGGAGCAGTGTTGCATTTACTCGTGGCTCAGGACAGAGTCAGTTTGTGTCATGCCAGGACATCTGTTTGGTACAAACAGCTGTGAGAACAATTAGTTGACCACAAGGCAAGACATACTTGGCCGTTTTCACAATCAAGTGGTCAAGAGAATATTTGATTGACCACAAGGCAAGCATACTTGGTTGTTTTCACAATCAAGAGAATATTTTGTTGACCACAAGGCAAGATTTACCTAGCTGTTTTCTCAATCAAGCGGTCTACTGATACATTTTCATGTATAGAAAATTTATACATAGATGGCTTATATGTAAAAGAGTCAGCTAAACTAACAAAATCATCCAGCCAGACATATTTGTGTGACAGATAGCATAGTCATTACAGAAGTGAGGCACTGACTTGTAAAACATTCAGATGAGCAGCAAATGTGATCCGTCTTGGCACCAGCTTTTTTTTTTTTTTTTTTTTTGGGGGGGGGGGTCTGCATTTATTAAGTTATTTACAAATTCAATTTTATATAATGTTACATCAGGTAGAAGACAGACTCATGAATTATGAAATGAATGGTATGGAGGTCTTTCACCCATGCTTCATCTTGTTGCTAAGGCTATCTTGTGCAGGAAAATGCTCCCAGGAAAATGATCTGTAGATTTTACAATTACTGACTTTATCATTCACATTCAAACAGTGCATTATAAACCAAGGTATTTTTTCATACAAACCATTTTAGTTAAAAAAATAAAAGAACAAAATATGTTTACTCTGCTGTTTACTTTTTATTTTATCAAAATTAATAAATATGAAGAAAAATATGAACATGAAAAGAAACGTTGCTGGTGTTTCTTACCGATTTTGCACCCCCCTCCCCATGTCCTCCTGTATATATGATCTTCAAACTCTCAGGTTACACGAAACACTTGAAGTAGTAAGGTCCTCCTTTGTGTTTCCTTGTTCTAAAGCCATCTTGACAGAACATTAAAATTACAACTCCATGTTTCTATACATCTTACACTGCAATTTCTGTAGTATCACTGCACATTACCATGGCTCACAGTGGCAATACAATAATACTGGGCCCATTGCCAACAATTTCAAGGAGGTTCTTTTTCTGAAAAAGTGGATCTTTTCCCATAAAACCTTCGTGTACCTAGATAAAATTTTACCCAGAGGGGACTTTTTCCCAGCAAAAAGAGGGGTTTCTTTCGAACTCCCTGAACACCCCACCCCCCTGGCTACAGGCCTGAATGCAGTAGACGCCACTTAATTTGTCACCCTTTGACCTGATTTACTCTTCAACTTAAATGTGGTTTAATGGTCTGAGTGCATCAGCAGTGGGCTGAAATGTTTAACACACATGCTGGATCCTAGTGGAATCTCAGCTATGCCATATTTCTGAATGGCTATTTCAGTTTTCAGCTATGCCATATATCTTAACATATGTTTTAGTTATCACCTCCCCCTCCCCCCTCCTTAGATCTTAGTGCAATTTCAGCTATGTCACATTTCTGAATGAGTTTTTCAGTTCTCAGCCCCCACCCCCCAGCTCTGCCCTCCAATTGGCCCCTGAGTTCTGTTGGTCTCAGCTCTGCCCTCCTGTATTCTGCTGTTCATGTAAACTGCTAAGACCAAGGTCAGTCCATTTCTGCTCTAGTTCCTGGAGAGTCTCATTACTGTGTCCATTATCTGGTTCAGGGTCGGGGAGCTCCATTTCTGGTACTGCTATGTCTTCGTAGGGCAGCTTGTTTTCCTCACGCCACCTCTGATCCACAATGTCCATGAGGCGGCCATCTCTCTGACAAACACTGTCCATGACTGAGTGGAGTTTCTGAAATAACATTGGAAAAAAAAATAGTTTTTAAGCAATTTGGCAAAATGTTTATAAACTATTACTTGAGCAACCCATAAATTAGCTGCATTGATATAAAAGTAAACAAAAATCTGAAAAAAATATAGTCATCTGACCAATCAGAGATAATACATTGTCAATAAAGCACAGTCGAAGTATTTAGTGTATATATCCATTGGGTTTTATATTCCTCTGATCTTAATTACATGTAATTCACCAAACTGGATGACCCTTGTGTTTACTCCCAGTTTCAGAAGCCTCATTCTATTTGAACAGGTTTGAAGTTCCTTTTCCAAACTGATAAAAAATCAATACTAAGGTAAAATGAGGGTAACCTGTCAAAATAATTTATCTGAAAACAGGGCCGTAGCCTGAGCAAAATGCCAGGGGGGGCAGTAAGTGGAAACGAGGCAGCGAAGCCCCCGAGGGGGGGAGGGTGTGTCCCCCTCTCACGGTGTCGAAAATTTTTTAAAACTGTATGTATAATACTGCATTCTGGTGCATTTTAACTGTTATTTATTGCTCAATCAGAAGTCAGAAATTGTGGGTTCATTTTGCCATAAGTACGGTCATTTTTTCAAAACAACACGCCAACTGGACTTTTCAGTATCCTTGATATAACTGAATTAAAAAATTGCAATTCAAATACTAAAAAGTTGAATTTTGGGGGAGGGGGCTGTGTATGCACCTGGACTTCCAGAAGCATCCAAACCATACCCGTTTGATCCCGCCGTACAGTGTTATGAAGTCAAAATATTGGCTATCAGTGATAAGGGGAGGACACTTGTGATCGAAGTTGTCTAGTAAAGATAAGCTTGCCTCAGACTTGTTGTATGGACTTTACCAAGTCTACTTGACTTTGCCCCCCGCCAGGTCCCCACTCATAAACAAACACGCTCCTGACTAAGCCCCCCCCCCTCCCCACTCCTCAGTAAATCTCGTTTAAAACGTTGTGAGATTTAAAAAATAAACCACCTTGCTTGGAAAAATTATATCCCTGGTTCAGTGCCCTGGGCCAGAATTGATGAATATGTTACCCTCTTTCTGGCTTCCTCAATATTGTACATGAATTCGGACTACGAGGCAGCTGTTCCCTGGACTACGTACAGCTACGGCAGTAGAGGTGATCCCGCCACGGAAAAGTCACGAAAGGAGGTCAATGGTATGCAGAAAGATAAGCTTTATAACAGTTTACGAGCCCCGTAAAGATTATACAGATTGCATAATGGGATCGGTGATGTTGTGCGCATCTTAACACCTTTGAAATGCATGATAAAAACAATATTTGTGGCCTTTTATGGCCAAAATTGCGACCATTTATGGCTTGTCTTGAAAAAATCAACAATAGCTCTACCTTGTGGTAAATAATGGTCTGAAATAAACACGTTTGCCATGTGTTCCTGACCCTTGTAATCACGTTTTCCCCGGGATCTCCGCATTTAAGTTGACAGCAGCACTAAGGGCAGCCTCGGACGATACAGTAGCCGGGATTGATATAGCGCACAAAAATAGCGTCTGACCTCGGACAGCATGCCGGCCTTAAACACACTGACGAGGGTTGCGGGAAGGCTCGTGAGAAGTTCTTTCGCCGTGCCACAGGCGCTCGGCAAGGTCTCTACCGGCCCCGCTGCCGGCGTTTCTCTCAACCAGACACTCTTGCAGGCAAGATGTATGTGTGCTGCAGCGGCGGGTCCGAAGGGGTTCATTTTTAGACAGGTATATTTCTTCTTAACGGTTGCTGTCAAGTTTTGACGTTTGCTTTGAAATGGCCCCATATTAAATTACATGTAATCGATTGTAATCTGTGTTAAATGCTTTTCAACTTACAGGCCATCTGGGCCACTAGGGTCTGTGAATCTACTGGCCCAATCGAAACAAAACTCACTGGCCCAATTATAATTTTAAAAAATACACAAATTAACACAATGAGATAAGCAGGCTTTTTATTACAATATATTAATTAAGAACAAAAACATGGGATTTTAGAGATTTTGTTTTATTCTAAGGAACACTAGTTTATGAAATCCAGACAAGAATTTTTTAATCTTTTTCATAGTTTTGCTTTCTACTCTTCCAAAACTCTTTCGAAGTGTTTTGCCACCTTGCATCTGATCCGTAGTCACGACATGTCTACTTCTGAATCATCTGCATTTTCCTTCAGCATCAAGTAATACAGTGTCTGTTAACAGAATTTTTCTTCAATCAACAGCTTAATGATGGAATTGTTTACCTTCGATATTTCAATATTTAGGTGTTGACTGAAGAAAAAACTTCTTTATTCTTATAACATAACACAGCTGATGAAATGTATTTGAAAAAAAAAGTTTTGAATCATACATCTATACACCAGTATTTCCAGGGTTTACCTGATAAATATAGAGCTTGGGCTAAAGAAACCGTCAAACAGGTTTTTAATTGTATACATTATCATATCTTGAATACAAAAATGGTATCAAAAACAGGATAGAGCTGATAAGAACTAGTCCTTGACTTTTATTTAACGTAATTGAAAAAAGTGAATACATTATCATCTCTTGAATACAAATATGGCAATTCACGAAGTCACCTCCATAGTATACTACTAGTAAGTATTTATATTCACTGAGGAATTTATTCCAGGTTATTATACCAACCAGCTTACACGTAAATTTTATAAGTACGTCCAGGGTTAAATGTTTGATTTACATACCTATTAAAAGGCACTTACAGCATGAGAAACAATTTAAATTGGTAAGTCTCTTTAAACTTGATGAATTAGTGTCATTGAAGGTGACATTGGTATCACGTATGCCTGGTGGGAGGGGGGGGGGGGGGGGGGTACATACCTTGGTTAGTAGAGCCAAAACCTTTCCTCTATTAATTCTGGATCACATTTGCAAAAAGCAAATCATTAATGATTGAGCAAGATTCTCAAAATGCATCTTTCAGGACATACCTCATTGATGGCATTATAGTACTGCAGTGCTTCAAGTGCATTTATTTTAAATATTAGCTAGGGTTGTATACGTGAAAGTACATTTTAAAGCTATCATATTAGACCTTGGCAGTGTTCCACAGTAACATTGCGTTAGATGTGGTAGTGACATATTGCAGTCTTGACTGTGCCAGATCCTTGGCTTTAGCTTCACAGAGTAATAGTGTGTTAAATGTGAGTACACTTTTCTATTCTAATGCATTTTTCCAGAGGTATCACATTAAGAGCATACGTCTGCCTTAATTGTGACAGCACACAGGAAATCCTATCGCTAGCTCCGTTGTTCGTCCATGACAGCTTCATACACTGCCATTGTGTTAGTTGTGACAACACATTTTAATCCTGTTATTTCCAGTTGTTTGACCACACCAGCTTCACGTACTCCTACCTGATAGCTGATGCTAACTCCAAGGAGGCGGTGCTGATAGATCCCGTTTATGAACTGGTGAGCAGAGACTTGAAGGTCATAAATGAGCTGGGTTTAAATCTGAAACTCACGGGTAAGAGGCTACAGTGTCGTAGTTGGTACATATTTTAAATTAACAAATTTTACCCTTAATTTATCTTTTTAGTGTTTATTCATGTATAGTCCTGTTATCTGTCTGTCTGTCTGTATATCTGTCTATCTATCTATCTATCTATCTATCTATCTATCTATCTATTATTATTATTATTATTATTATTATTATTGTGCCCCATCAGTTTATAGAGGTACTGTTTTAGTGGTTTGACCTTTGTTAGAGATGTGACAGACCATCTCATATTCTTGTTATAATTCCTGTAGTAAGATAATATTTAGGATGCATGGATGTGTTACAAATGATACCCTTTGTCATGTGTTTTAGGGTCTGTTTCTATGGTGACATAAGTTGACAGTGGGATGCGCAGTCATGTTTCTTATGTAGCCATCATTTTCCTACTAGTCTCTTGGAATTTGTAAAGAGTGATCCTAAAATGATTGACAGAAATGTTTAAATGATAATAAAAAATTGCTCTCTTGCAAAACATACATGGCATTTTTGAAACAGTTGAATGGAAAACTTATTTTGTACTTATAAACGAAACTATTGGATATAATATTTTCTTTCAGTTAATACACATATGCACGCAGACCATGTGACAGGAAGTGGCAAACTGAAGCAGGAGATCGCTGGATGTAAGAGCGTTATTTCCAAGTACAGTGGGGCCCAGGCAGACATATACCTAGATGACGGGGATACTTTTGAGTTTGGGAAATTCAAGATGGAGGCAAAGAAAACTCCCGGTCATACAGATGGTAGGTTTTCTTATGTCAGTATTGGCCCCAATATATTTTGACAATTCTCCCTATGAGAACTTTCGTGCATTTCAGCAATGTTCCAAGGAGCTGTTTCATAATTTTAAAGATTTCATAACATACTGCATTATTAAGTTAGTATTAAATTGATATTCACAGTTTAACCCTCTCAGTTGACCCAGCTTGCAAAATAACATTGAATGTATACAGTACAAGCAGACTTTTCCAGAATGTGTTTTTCGGCCTTCATACCTGCCCCCCCCCCCCCCCTCCCGTCTTCAAGTCTCTGGTGATATGTTGATAATCATACGCTGATCTATCTTACAGGTTGTATGACATTCATATGGCATGAACAGGGAATTGCATTCACTGGGGATGCCCTGCTTATCAGGGGCTGTGGTAGAACAGACTTCCAGCAAGGTAATGTGTGCGTGTGTGTGCATGTGCGTGTGTGTATGCGCATGCATAAGACTGTGTATATATATTTCAGTGCTATGTACATTATTTAGCCTTGAATGTACTGACACACACACAAGATTCATTCAAGTTTTTATGTAAAACATGACTAAGGACTTTTGTCACTGTATTTCAGATATTTCAGATTTGTTCCATTTTGAGTCTATATGAAGTTTTTTTCTTCTTTTATGAAAAAGAATGCATGATTAAGTTCTGATTTTTTTCACTTTTGATAGTTTTCGCAGATGTAACACTCATGATGCAAAATCAGTTCTGTAAACTTGTGCATTTCTTTCTGCCTAATTGCATATATTTTTTGTATTTTGTTAATTATTATTCAAGTGTTCATTTAATTTCAGGCAATCCGGGAACCCTGTATGACTCTGTTCATAATGTTATATTGTCACTACCACCGGATACCCTGCTCTACCCGGCACATGATTACACAGGTATGAGTCTGTCCATGATATGATATTATCATTTCCACCGGATACCCTGCTCTACCCAGCACATGACTAGTCAGGTATGAGTCTGTCCACAATATTATATTATCATTTCCACCAGATACCCTGCTCTACTCAGCACAGGTACACAGGTATGAGTCTGTCCATGATACGATATTATCATTTCCACCGGATACCCTGCTCTACCCAGCACATGACTAGTCAGGTATGAGTCTGTCCACAATATTATATTATCATTTCCACCGGAAACCCTGCTCTACTCAGCACAGGTACACAGGTATGAGTCTGTCCATGATATTATATTATATTATCATTTCCACCAGATACCCTGCTCTAGGTCTAAGTAGGTCAAGTTTTCAACCAAAACAGTTTAAGCTTTTTTATGACTGATCGAGTGATTTACTTGGTTTATCCTTTAGCACGTCAACTTTATATTTGAGTTGTATAAGAAAATAGTAGAAGTGGTTTATATGTGTAACTGGGAATCCTCGTTCCATCGATGCTCGGTTCGTATATGTCTCTTTAACCTCCCACAGGTCAAAGTGTGACGACAGTGGCCGAGGAGAAGAAGTGTAACCCTCGGCTGACCAAGTCTAAGGAAGAATTCATCAAAATTATGGAAAACCTCAACTTGCCTTACCCTAAACAGATTGGTGAGTAACTGGGCTATTTCCACATGGGTAAATTGCTTGCTTTTAAAATTGCCATGGGTTAGATCCCGGGTCACGTTGATGTCCCTGGGTAATATTGGTGCCATGTTAGCACATCTGAGGGACAGCTTGGTCATAATAAAACTCAAGTTGACTTGCTTTAAAGTTTATGCTAACAGTGATTATTTGCCATATGGTTACTAGTGCCTGTGCTTTGCTTTTAAAAGAATACCTCAATTAAATGGCTTTACTGCTTAAAAAAATTGTTTAAATAACTGATTTCAAATCTGAAACGGGTACATCCATAAACATAAGCTGAACATAAAACCGTAATGTGAAGATTAAAAGGCTGCAGCTGCTTGGCTTTATTTACCATTGTCATTTGTTTCAGATCATGCCCTGCCGAAGAACCAAGTTTGCGGAATATTCTAGAATCAGCTTGTGGTAGATAGGCACTAACTGTTATCAGTCATATAACAACAACTGACCCTGGCTATTCCCTCGACCTGGCTTTCAGATCCTTGAATCTGGCAATAATGATGTGATTTCTTGGTCCATAGCTTATTGCATAATGGCACTGTATATTTTTTAACAGGAAATTCTGTCAGTTTTAAAGTTTTTATCCATCAGGATTCAGGTCTGTTAATTTTTAGGAATTGATTTTAAAAGATAAAAATGTCAGAATTTATAACTTATATTTTCAATAGTGGATTCAGGATGGAGGTATTCATTTGAGCATTTTCAACTCACAATGTATTTATTTATTGTTAATTTATCATTATAAGTTTTTGTTGATGATGATCCTATGTATCATCACTGTATTCGTAACCAATTGAGGTTGTATCTACTATTCATGAAGTGCATGTACCTCCTGCAACCTAAAACTACTGTTATGTTGTACTAATATTTATAATTACTGGATCTGCAGTATTAACGTATAGTATTAAGATCTTTTAAGATGAGATTTGAAGAAAAATGACTAAAATTGAGAGTAGCCAATTTTAATTGTGGTGTTTACTATAATATAAGCTCCTTTTTAATATAATTTTTATTGGCATTCTTAAATGCCTGAACCATTGTATCAGACTTTAAAAATAGGTTTTCTTTCCATACTGGATTCATGTTTCTCCCTAGAGTTTTAAAATATTGTTAGTTGAAAATTTGTACATTTTGAATATCCATTATGTTGGCACGCTGCCTCATATTGGCCTATTTGTACAGCAGTCAATTCCTGAACCTTGAGATCTGATATTTGCCAGCTTTCTCATTTTCAAATATTTTTATTTTAATAATTTATTAAAAAATTTTGGTCACAGTCATTGTAGCACTTCTTCAGTAAGGATAAGTGAAATGTGAAAATGAAAAAGCTGGGAGACATCTTCTCTGAATCTCTGGCTAATTGGGCATATCTTTAGCCATTTAAACTCAAAAAGCTTGTCTTTTTTCACAAACTAACGCACAAATGGGGGTTAGGGAGTTTTTGCAGAGAAATGGTGCCTACATTCTGTCACACAGCTGTCTTGTAAAATGTTAAATTCAGGGGCCATTTCCTATGAGAACTTCAAAATTTCAGTCTCCTTTGACCTCAGATTCATAGGCATTAAATTAAGTATGCTTATAGGAAGAAAGATGTGACTAGAATGCTATAGAAGGCATCCAGAACTAACAGATCCACAGATCAAATATGGCGACCCACTATAAAGCTTGCTGCTTAATTCATGATTAGACATTGTATAGATTCCGCGCAGGGATTATGCAACAAGTGGGACATATTTGATCTGTGGATCTGTTAGTTTGCTGTTCTGAATGTGCTCATAGACAAGAACTTTAATTTTAGGGACTACAGCAATTTAGTTCTTACTGAAGTAGAGAAAAAACTTGAAGTCTTTTTGTGAAACTTTGGGCTGTGATTGCATCAGCCTTAATTCTCTTTAAAAAGAGAAATCCTCACAATAATGGAAACTCAAAGCAATACTGCTTCATTTGATAAATGTCCACGCTTTCTTTGAGAAATTTTCATTTCTTCTTATCCCCTGTTCCAGACCGTGCCATACCATTGAACAAAGTCTGTGGAGTGTTTTAGGGACATCACAGCCTCTGCTCCCACTTTTTAGAGCTAACAGCTCATCTTGGAAAAAGTGACATCTGGAGCACTGTAAATAATAGTTGGTACAATGAGAAACCAGTTTTCATCAATAATGACAGACCAAAGGAAAAGAGCATTTATAAGATTAAGGACTGGCGTGAAGCCAAGGTTAACTTGGTAAGGTGCAATTTTAGTTTTTTAAACTGATATAAGTTTAAATTTATAAAGTTTCCATGGTGACTTGCTGGGTAGCACCATTAAGTAAGAGGCATTGCAAACAATTCAGCAAGACATTTTTAAATTGCCATTTTAGAACCATTGAATGTTTTTGAGAAGTACAAATGTCATCTCCAAATGAGTGTGAGATGTGTTAAGAGTGCTCAAGATCAACCTTAACTTTTAAAAATGTTTAATTGAGAGGAGTGATATCAGTATGCATATTAGTGTACCTTTGAAAATATAATGATATTCAAGAGTGTGATCCCTTGATCATTTGAATTATTATGTGTGTATCATTGGCAAAATGATAAATACCACAAAAGTCCATATAAATACATGCTCCTATTATATCTATTTTAATGGTGGAGGGTTGCTGGTAACATTGATGAGTGTTTTAAGTATTTTATGTAAAATATCTGTTACGTGTTGAAACCTTCAATTTTACAAAATATCTGATTGTCATAATAAACACTTAATCTTATAGTCTACATCTAGTTCCTTGTGTTGTGAGAAACTTTCAAGCTGGTTATCTCCTTGTTTCCTTAACAGACTATTTTAAAGAACCTTCTTTGATGTAACTCCTGTAATATTTCAATGCTGCCATTTCCATAACGACTTCACATAATTTAATGGAATATTAACCATTTTCCTTTAAAACAAAGCAGACTTATCAATAACTTTTTTCAACTTGCACATTTATTACAACAAGGCTATTGCACAATTTCATCCCAGAGAGGTATTCTGTCTTAATTCTAAAGCCTCCTTGAAAACATCTGCAACTAAATTCATGAAAATATGATACTATAATCATGACAGTTGGATACAATATTCATTAATGTCTGTTTCCTGTAACACCGTTATACAATGCCACAGACACCTGTTACAATATCAATCGGAAAATTTTGCAAGCAATATCTTCAAAAAACCTGAAGATGTTTATAAATACCAGTTTCTGATAAAAAAAGATTAAAATTCACAAATGCACAGGACAAATATCATTATCAGAGATTTCTTGAGGGGATTAAGTTAACAAGTTCGTAATTATTCATAAAATAAAGATATAGTGGTAAAAAGTCATGGCTAACGCGTTAACCCTCAAAACTGCCGTTTTCTTCAGCTGTTTTGTCCTATTGAGCAAGTGTGATGTAAATAAATACATACTTAGAAAATATTTCTGAATACATTTCATAAAATATATTAATATTAGTAAATATATAAAGGGGAATTCCTTTAAGTAAAAGTAATTTGTGTAAATTGTCTGTTTTCATGACCAGGAATTCACAATAAGTACTGTGCGGAATTCTATAGAGACAATAACACTTTAAGCAATAAAAATATAATATTGTGATAATGTTCTGTCTTGGAACGTTCTACAATTTCCCCACTTCCATAAAAATTCTTCATATCTGCTTCAAGTATTCTTTATTCATATACTCAACAATTTCACTGCTAACACATGTCAACAACCAGCTGCACCATTAAATAAATAAACAATGATAACAACAAGTATTCCAGATTCTTAACACTGTATGTCAACAAAGGATTGAACTATTCCCATTCCTACACATCTGAGAGATTAGTAACCAAGCTTGAAGACCATTTTACACAACAACCTATGTCCGAAAATTAGCCTACACTGATATTATTTATACCAAAACTGTAGTCTATTTCAGTTCAAGATATGTATGCAGTAGTCCACATATATAATGTAAGTAATATCTGAATATGAATAAATCTATAATATATGTATAATTATATATGGTAAAAAATAAATATTTGAAGCATCAGCCACATTTTTCTTACTTCAAACAGGCACACTATCCCATTTAATGGGTCTATCACTGATTTATCGCCAGTTAAATTTCTTCTGTAAAACAGGCCCCAATAGGAATGTTAGTGTCTTTTTATTGGTAAAATGATAATTTTTATTTGATGCAAGCAACAGTTCCAGGCAGGTTGCCATGGTAACTGCACCTTTTTTAAAGCTGGGAAGCCATTCCAGAGAAACATGGTTCAGCGTTTTCAGCCAAGCAAGTAGATATAGGATCTAACCCTTTGCTACAGTCTGTTGTACTGGTACCTTATTAAGCGACTGACACTAAATGAGCAGACATTAATTCCATTTACACAGACTGACATTAATAAAAACTAAAACTGACTATTTCAATAAATTACAGGCATTTATTTTGACTATTGCTCCTCCTCTGCTTCTGTTTCCTCATCAGGGTCCAGATGAGGCATGTACCCCATTGGCATCTGAGCCCAGTCTTGTCTCTCCCCAGAAGCACATAGCCCAAACACCACAGCCCCAAGTAGATAGATGGCAGCACTTATGTAGAACACTATCCGCCATTCAGAAGCCAGCTGGAAAAAATTGTGGTGATTTGTTAATTGGGAGGATATAAAATGATATAAAAACTATACAAAGCATACCAATTATATGGTAACTATCCACATACATCAAATGCCATTTATTTCAGTCACTTTTTTCTTTTAAGATAGAAAGTTTGTAATTACTTGCTTAATTTTGAAAAGCATTACTGAAAAAAAATCATGAATCAAAAGCAAAACACTGATGCTGAAAATATTATCAACTCAAGTTACGTTCTTGTAGCATGTCACACGTACATAAATAGGATTCAAATTTATTTCATGAGAATGTGTTGGCAATATGTCAAGTGAACAGAAGATCCTAGAAGACTTCTAGTGTGGTTACCTTATGCTGTACAATGGCTCCAGTCAATCCAGGACTTATAATACCAGGAAGTGTGGCAAAGGTATTGGACACACCCATCAAAATACTGGCATACTGGAATAAGACACCAAAGTTTGCAAATATACAGACACAATTCAATCTAACAAAAATTAAGCAAATAATTAAGAATTCTAATCTTGTCCGAAAGTGGTTTACTGCTCTGAGGAAAATAATGGCGACATCTGTAAAAATATACAGTAAATTAAATTGCAGATTCAAATTTTTTTTTTAAGTTGATGCTGGGAATAATTTTAAAGAATATAATAAGAAAAAAAAAAACAGAAAACAAAATGCACCCACTGAGATGTAATGTAACACACAGGTGTCTGACACCAAATCTAGCCAACATCAAGAAAATGATTGACACAAAAAAAAAAAAAAAAACTCCGCCCATATCAAGAATTTGTTTCTTACCTGTGGTGCAATATCCAAGTGATTGACACTAAACCCCGCCCAGGTTAAGCCCCCAAAGCCCACTGCTATGGTGATGGCAGTAATGGCTGCAGCAGGAGTCATCAGATATGCGGCAGTTATCATGAAGACTGTTTGGAACACATAAGCTATCAAAGAAAAAATACATATCTGGTAATAACATACATTGGACCAAAATTCTTGATTATAATCAAATATATTTTTTCTAGCAGTACTTTTAATGTCATTATATCAGATAAAATGATAATAATTCCAAAACTAACATACAGAAATTATGGTATGCATAATGTAAGACTTTTTCATTATTATAATATGATTATCATATATTTCTTGCTTTTATACAATCATACATGGCAAAGTCATTTGTATTATTTCAATAAGAAAAATATCCTGGGAAGTATAATAGCATACTGTAATTCTCTTTTATTCTAAATATTAATTTTTGTACTCATAACAAGCCTAAAGTTTGCAAGCCAAGAAAAACAATGAATCGGTATCATATTGGACTCGACTGCTCAGTATATCCTCAGAACATAATTAAGGTGTAGGACACTCCAATTTGGCATCCTAAATAGATCTATAATATATGTTATGTTATATGATATGGAGTTTCTCTGGTGCTGTTCTTCACAACCTACCCCCACAAGTGAAAAGTTTCCTAACATTTGTAGTAGTAAGTTTTTTTGACCGCCGTAAAAAGTCTGCAATATGGCCACCGACTTGCACAACTATTCCCATGACAAGATACGGCAGTGCTGCCACAAAGCCAGTCTGAAACAACATCATATAAGTTATAAAATAAATGTTCAATTTAAAAATTCAATATAAAAAAGATTTCACAAACCAAAAGACCCTAAATGTATCTTGCACTTTATCCAATAATTCTATGTTCAAAGATACTCCATAGCAATTTTATTGTAATTAAATACACCTTTGCCATTTTGATTAAGTACAATATATTAGAGAGAATATATACAATGGATGATTAAATATAATAATATGAAGTAATAAATTGTTTATGCTAATTATCTACCAACAAAACATCACGACAAGTTTAGAAATATTTTCAAATGTTTTTAAGTCCACCACAGGTCTGTTGCCAGCAACTACAAAAAGGGGCCTTTTTCAGAAAAAAAAGTGAAACATTTTTTACTACTTATTTGACCCACATTGAGAAATAGCACAGCATGTAGATCATATTTTGATTCAAAGTGGACCTTTTCTGAACAAAAGAGTGGCTCATTAAAGCAATGACCCCCACCCCCCCCACCCCCCCACCTACACAGTACTGTATTGTAAGTAATCCATTTTCATTTTTGGGCATTGAAGTGCCATTATATAGTATGTATGGTACCTTGGCAACTCTGTACGAGAAAACATCATGCAGAAATGTGGGCAGGGATGTGAGGAGAGTGTAAAATCCCCAGTTCTCAGCAAAGTGTGCGCAGATGATGGCCCATACTGGGACAGAGGTCGCCATCTTCAGCCATGGCGGATGCAGATTCTGAAATTGCGATGGTGCAAAATAACCACAAAGTCAATGAAAAATAAAATATGGGCTTTAATTTCCACTTTTTACTGATAAACTACATGTACATGGAATTACTGATTAAACTAAAGTTTCCTTTTTTAAAAGAATTAATTTTTTATTACTTTTCATAAAATACCACCCTAAGACTTACATGTAATAAGCATGTTCATTATCACACACTATTCATGAAATAACCACACAAAAATTATCATGCTGCTTGTTAACTGTTAATTCCACTGAAATGGTCACAACACAAGGACCTTAGTATACGGAGGCCCTTTACTTGATATATGTGGAAGAAAAAACAGAGTCAACGATAAATCCTTTATCTTCCATCCTGTGTGGAGTACCTGTGTCTGTTTGTCAGTGTATCCCATACTGTACTGTATATACTCCAGCTCCTCCTGGGATATGGTGGGGTGTTCTGAGGGACTGTCACTTATCAGCAAGAACCACAGGATGCACCAGAGGATTGCCAGAGCACCTAATGTGTGTTGTAACAAGACATGTCATTGGTTGAAATGATGATTGCCAGAGCACCTAGTGTGTTGAAACAAGGCATGTCATTGGTTGAAATGATGACTGCCAGAGCACCTAATGTGTGTTGTAACAAGACATTTCATTGGTTAAACAGATGATTGCAAGACAACTAGACCATTTGTAACTGTTACAAGACATGTCAATCGTCGTTCAGCGACAACTATTTGCCTTTAATAAATGGTAATTGAAGGAGAAACGTGAAGGCAATGGTCCTCTAAAAGACCCCATTCTTTTACTTAAAAGCTATGAACTCACCAAAGAAGTAAAAAAGTGAGGGCCATCCCAAATAGGCTGCCATCAGTCCAGAGAGAGGCATGGAGACCACTGTACCCATGTAGGAGCCTGAAGTACATTGTAGCTATACAATACATTCCTCAATATAATACCTTGTAGCAATGGCAACAATGTCAAAATTGAAGAACACAAGAAAACAAACTCCAAATAACTAAAGGTATAAAAATTAAATCTGAGATTTTATATTTCAGACCTGGCTGCCCGAGATAAGTCAACCAACATATGGCTATATCTATTACTGTATAAACAAAATATGGCTGCCAGATTCACATAGTGCTGAACTATGACAACAAAAATGGTCAGTTTTTTGCTATGCCATATTATATCAAACATGAAAAGTATCACAAAGATAAAATGGTCAGTTTTTTGCTATGCCATATTATATCAAACATGAAAAGTATCACAAAGAAAGAAAGGACAATCAGTTTCACAATATGCAATGGCACGACAAACCCGTAAAAACCCATACCTGAGAAGGCAATGGTAGCCAGTTTACTTCTCTCCAATGGAGGTGCCCACTTAGCCCATATAGCATGTATGGAGGGGTAGGTCACACCCTAAAATAAAACCATAGGGAATGATAACCAAGCAACAACTGTCTCATTGGCAGCAGTGGATATCTCTGACTCTGGGTCAAGGATTTAGCTACAAAGAGGGCAGAGGGAAAGCAAAATTAAGCCAACTGAAGCTCCACATATACTGAACAGCAGAAGAGAACAATTTACTATATTATGTACTAGTGGTTTTTGTCTCATTTTACTCTTTATACTATTTTGGAAGAGAAGATGGGAATAGGTGAAGAAACTTGTGTAAGGGAAGGCCATTTATCGATTATAAGATTACTTTCAACATATCATAGTAAGCTGAGGCTTAAAATGCTGCAGAGTCTCTAAACTCAAAGATAAAACCCAAGTCAGAAATGATTGTACGGCAAAAACATAGTACACTTCCCCTAAATCATGCATTTTATCCACTTCCCTACCTCAAATATCCCCTCCAGAATCCTGACCACGATGAACAAGTACACGCTGCCACGCACACATAATGGCGTCAACAAAGTCAGTACCGCAGTGACAAATATGCCTCCACCAAAAAGATTTCTTCCTCCAAACTTACTGGCAAGAATACCTATATAAGACATAAGATCATATTTATATTATTGCCTTAATTGTCTGTCTTATATGGGAAGGAAGACATTACATGTAAGTAATATCTTTAATTTATAACTATAGGATTTCAAGCAATGTTTTCCAGCCTATGAATTCACACAATTAAATAGGTTCTATTAGAGACTGAACATAATTCTAACACTAAGGGCTCTTTCCCAATGAGACTATGGTTCTATGTAAATCAATCTTACTCTGCAGGGACTCTCGCTGAATGCAATCAGATTAACAGATTAACATGCCCTAAGACATGGCATTTCAAGCACAGCATCAAAAGGGAAATAACCTGAATGTGTATATGTAATACAAAGTACCAGCATGTGTGAGCATGTACTTGCCGCCATACTGGTATGTGGGCATACTGGTATTCACTAACACGAGTCATTACTGGGGTAGCGCTAACACTCGCCAATTTAACCAAATGCTAAAACTGACTTAAATTGGCTAAAGAAAAAGGGCTTGATTTGGCATTTTTAGCCAAATTATAACCTTTTTGGTAAAAAAATTGACAAAAATGTGGTGATTTGGCTAAGCGAAAAAAATTGCTACCCCAGCATTAAGTCTATGTTTGGTATCATTAAACTGTGCAAGTACTGCTCACCCAGTAAAAAGTTGTGTCAATTGTTATCATAAATATTATTCTCTTACTTTTCTTTTTTATTTATCTATTTATTTATTAATTTATGATCTTGTTGAAATCCTTACCCCCAGGAATCTGAGTGAAGATGTAACCATAGAAGAATGAGCCAAGTATTAGACCAACAAGTCTGGAATCCCAGGAAAACTCGGGTTCAATCTGAAATTAATATGACAGCAATTGATGCTGAACTGATAAAAGCATTATCTGACAAAATATCACTATCTACCAAAAATATTTTTAAAAATTCATATTCTTCTAAACTTTGACAGACATTTAATTTAAATGTTAAAATATTATGACATGAATCATACATTCGATTCAGAATCATGATTAGGCATCAAAATTAACATTTTAGCTGTACAATTATAACCAATGAGTACGTTTTCTATAATCTGAT